TGAATAATCTTCCCCCCCTCCCGAAACAAAAAGACAAAACCAAGGAAAAGAAAAAACCGCAAAAAAACACAAAACTGCGAGTTGTTTTTCCCCTGTCTCCTGAATAATCGTCTCCTGGACCTGCACGTCGCTGTCCTTCTTCCACTCTCTGAAGGCCCGCAGCATGGCCTCCACGCCGTGCTCCGTGGCCTCGAAGCCGAAGCCTGGGAGGACCTGCAGCTGCTCGCGCCGCACCAGGCGCGTGAAGCCCACCTCGGATTTGAAGCTTCGCGTGGGGGGTCCAAAAAATTCGGAATCCCAAAAATGGCACCCTGGTGAGATGGAAACAATGACTAAAAACTGCTTCTTATTTTTTTCTGGTGGTCTAATTTTGACCCATACCCACATAGCCTAGATCCTCCAGTATGTCTATTTTAGTAGGGGAACGCTCCCCCAAAAAAGTTGGTGAGAAAGCGCAGTACTGGGGGACCTTCACATACAAGGTGATGTGTCCTGGTACTAAAATGGTCTAACACGGTCTAATTCGGATCTGTTTCCCCGAAATTTTGGGTGGTTTGACATTCAAGTCTAGGTCCTCCAGTTTTTGAGCTTAGAATAAGGGCGCCGTTTCTTCTTTCTGCCTATTTTAGCCTGAGCCATGGGACACGCCTCCCCAGATCCATTTACCTGGAGCTCGGCAACCGAGGGATTTCCGCCCGGAAACCCAAGAGTTGAACACTGAGCCAGGGGGTACCCGTCTTGGTGGTTGGTTCGTTTTGGGGAGTTGGTCGGTTTGGTGGCCCCCCGCGTTTTCTCTTGTTTTGTGGTTGTGGCTCCCTTTATTGTCTGAGAGCAGCTAGCACAGTGCGCCTAAGGCGCTTGGCACAGGAGTTTTTTTTAGCAGCCGTTCAAAAAAGGGGGTACCTCTTGTGGCTTGCCTGAAGTGGGTACCTGAGATGCCCAACCTTCACAAGGCTAGGTCCTCCAGATTTGAGAGGTTAGAATAAGGGTACCCGAGTTCTTTTTCTGTTGTCTATTTTAGTAGGGGAACCCTCCCCCAAAAAAGGTAAAAGGGCACTACTGGGGGACGTACAAGGTGATGCATCAGCCTGGGCCAAAAACTGGCGGGAACCCATCGGAAAGAAAAAAACAGATCCTGATTCGAATGGATCCCAGCTTCTTTTTCGACCTCCCTCTTTTCGACTCCCCCTTTGCTTCGCGTGGCGAAATTATGAATGCCTCTCCCCTTTTTCTATTCTCGACTCCCCTCTCTTTTGGCGCGAAAGATGCTGTTGACCCCCCGCAAAAAGTGAAGCACTTTTTCAGGGTTTGGTGGAAAAAAAACAACACCTCCATATTTCCCAAAACGCTTAAAAAGATTTAAAAAGCGTCTAAAAAGATCCAACCCGGCCGTCCAGTCCTCCGCCTTTTTCTTTTTTCCGCCGACTTTCTCCCGGTGAGGCGCCAGGTAGCCCTTGCTCTTGCCCTCCTCCAAGCGGTGCGCGGACGCCAGCTTCCGCAGATCCCGCTGAAACGAGGGCGCCTCGAAGCGGGCCAACAAGGCGCGCTGCAGCGCCAGGGCCTTGGCCTTGGTGAACTCCTCCTCCTGCCGGAAGCCACAAGCCGAGGACTCGCCGAGGAAAGCCGAGGACCGCAAGCCACAACCTGAACCCTCAAAAATCCAGCTTGAAAATGGGGTTGACCCCCAAAATGATGGTTGGTGATAGTCTGTTTTATGGCTAGGTTGAGGGTCCAAGAAGCCGTTTCCAAGTCCCTCAATTGTCTCGGTCCATGGACCCCGAAAAAAGAATGGTTGGTCATTTCAACCTAAATGCGGTCATGGACCTATTGTTGAGGGGTCATGGAGACAGGTCCATTCTCTTCAACCATCGCTCCTAGGACAAGCCGGCGCCGAACTCCCGAAGTCGACCGAAAAATGCGGGGTTACCAGCCAAACCTATCGAACACCTAAACAAATTGGTAAGCCCAGAATTGGGGAACCCATCGGTTTTCTGCTGGCTCCAGGAACAACACCAGCAGCAGGAATTCACATCTAAATTGAGTGGTAACACATAAATGAAGCGCGGTGGAAGGAAGCGGAGGTCTCCCCTTTGGAGCTTTTTCGGCTTTCCTGTCCACATATTTCGTGGCCGCCTAGAAACAAAAAACCTTCATTGCTGGATTTCACTTGGATTTGAACCCCGGGCTTTTGTGCTCTTTTGTAGGGGGTAAATGGGAAACCACCAAAGCACTTTGGGCTCCAAGCCACCAATTTGAGCGAAAATCTGGTTCAATGTTGTTTGCTAGGGGTGGATTCCAAGTCCATTCTTTTCAACCATCGTTCCTTTCAAAAACCGGATCTGTTTCCCCAAGGTCTTGGGTGGCTGGAAAGAATGGGTAAGGTACCCCTAGAACAATCAAAACCGATCGGTACGAAACCAAAAATGGTGAACCCAGAATGTAGACTAGGTCCTCCAGTAGAGAGGTTAGAATATGGGTACCAACTTCTTTCTGTAGTCTGTAGTCTATTTTAGTAGGGCCCCCAAAAAGGGTAAAAGGGCACAACTGGGGGACCTAGGTAGAGAAGTAGAAAGGCGACCGCAACTATTTTTGGCTGGCCCTTGCTAACCTCTATCTACCCTGGTTTTGATTGTGATTGCTGGAATGTTCAACTGTTGAATCGAATCCAACCGAAGTTTGGGGCAACCTATAAAAAAGGGATGTTCGTTCTTGGATGTTCAAGCTGCTTAGTCTGGGTATAACCATGGTACGCCAAGTATATACCCCAGTTGCGGCACCCACGGAACCCACCCACCATAATTTTGGGGTAGTCACCCATTATTAAGCTGGCATTTTGAGGGTCTGGGTTTGCTGTTGGATTTCCTTACCTACATAAGAAGGTTTTTTTTTCCCATGGTAAGCCAACTATGTCACCAGACAGCTACTGGCGGTGTCCAAATTTGTTTACGGGGGAATGACCAAACTTTCCAACAGCAACTGGATATCTGAAATGGCCTTTCTGGATGTTTCTTGCCTACGTCAACAAAAGTCGGGTAGAGCCAACAATCCCCAGGCAAACTCCAGGCACATAACCTTGTTGTAACCTGCTTACTAATTAAGTAGGTTTGGACGTCCAAGAATTCAAGTGCATGGTTAGCCACCTGGATTTTAGGGTTACACCGGTCCCACCAATAACAAGTTGTTTACTCCACGTTCACCGGTGACGTAACTAAGTGGATTACAACAAAGTCGCTTGGTTGACGTTGGAAGGAAAGCAAACATCTAAGTTTCAGCAGGTAAGTGGGGTTTCAACCAAACCACGATAAGCAAAAATGTACCTGAACCCTCAAAATTCCCATAAAAATTGGATATCACCCCATAATTTTGGGGGTCAAACCCATTTTTTAGGGAGTTTTGAGGGTTCAGGAAAATGTAAAAGGTTTCCCAACCATGGTAGCATGGAAAAAGCTCAACTCCCCGGGCTGCGGGAGTTAAAAACTCCTCGAGGGTTTTCTTCTGGAAGCCCATTGCACCCCTCCATACGGCCGGCGAACCGCTCGGTGTTTGGTCTCATGGCGCTAAAATCCCCAAAATCCCATCGAATTGGAGTCTTTGGGCAGGTACCCTCCTATCCATGGAACCTGACTGATGGGCCTTGGAAAATCCAAGACGACTTTCCACGAAAAAAGAAACCCCCTGGGTTCCATGTGGACAGGGTCAATTCACCATCACGTCCTCCGTCGGAATCCCAAAGACGGGCTCCCAGCCGGAGTCCGCAGAGGAGGTGGGGCTTCTGCCGGCGGGCGTCGTCTTTCCGCTGCCGGTGGGGCTGACGGGTGACGTCTTCGCGGAGATGGAGCCATCCCCTAGGTCCCCTCGACCCAAGGAAGGGCACCCCCTGCGGCTCACCGGCAACTCCAAGGCCGCTTTCGGCGTCATGGCGGCTCTGAAAGTCGACGCAGGGAAAAACAACTCCGTCCTGAGCCAAAGGCCGTGGGACGTCACAGGGAGCCTTTGGCCAATTGGCCAAAGTCATGAAACTGCTACCCCCCCCCCCCTATCCCCCCCGCCCCCCCGCCCCCCCCCACCTAAAACCAAAACAAGAGCTACTAGTCCACTCAGAAAGGCCTTAGTAGCGCTGGATTCTCGCTTCTTGCACTCGCTGGTCCCTCCAGGGACCTCCCGGAAAAGAAATGTTGCAGCTTCAACTCGCAAGCATGAAGCCCAAATGAAACAATGATTCTCGCGAATCGAAGGCCGCCCACAAAAGACACCTTACCTTGGAGTGTCCGGTAGGTTCGTTGTTAGCTCCTTCCCTTCCCTTGGGAAGTGGGTCACTTTCAGCGACCTGTGCCACCCAAAGGAGGCGCAAGTCCCACTGAATCCAACTCAAAACCCCAAGCTCAAAGTCTCTTTGAACCCAACTGTGGATGGTTGCGAAATCCATTTCGCACCGCTTCGAAACAATGGGGCAAACCACGGTTTGCTGGGTATTACAGAGGGCAACCATTATTCTTTATTCCTGAACCCTCAAAATTCCCTTACAAATTGGTTTGACCCCCAAAATTATGGGGTGATATCCCATTTTTCTGGGTAGTTTGAGGGTCCAGGTTCCGGGTTTCGATTCTTGAAGGTGGTGCCTGTCATGGATTTCGCCATCCACATGGCCAGCCTTCAACTCGCCTGGGGGCCCGCAGGCTCGGAAACGGTTCAGCAAACCAATCCAAACGCCCAGGTGCCCCAAAAGAGGCAACTTCAAGGCTCAAAAGTAAGCTGAACGTCCAAGCAAGGACCCCTTTGGCCCACCTGAGTCAAAGGTAAAATGGTCTACCCGGAACCATGTAAACAGTTAGAAAGGCGGATATCCGCAACTATTTCTGGCTGGGACTGCCCCTTACTAACCTTCATCCATCCCCGGGCTTTGAGCAAGTGGCTCAAAGCTAAGAACCGCACACAAACTCCCCGGGAATTCGCGCGAAACCCGCGCGCAAACGACTTCCACTCGAAGGCCACCGTGGGGCCGTAGAAGCTGTCCCCGCCGTCCGGGCGCTTCTGCTCGTGGCTCATGCCCAAGATGTGGCCCAGCTCGTGGGCCATGTTGCCCACCTCAACCCCCCCCCCCCTCCCCCCAAAAAAAACACCGGAGGGCGGTTGCCGGTGGCTTGGGGTGAGCAACCGGGTTCAAAATGAATGAACCTGTGGGTCCGGTTTCAAAATCAATGAACCGGTTTAAACATAAATGAGGGTGGATTGGAGCAGCCGGTTTCAAACATAGGTGAACCTTTTGGGAAAAAAGAGATGGGTTCCCCTGAGAAATGGATGGCATAACCTTTTTTTTTTTAATTTCTGGCCCCGCACCCTTTGGTGAGCATCAAAGCTCGGTAAGACCCACTGTGGATGGACCGAAGTTCATTTCGCACCAATTGAAACCATGGTTGAAACCATGGTTTGTTGGCATTTTCCGCAGGGGACATCATCATTCCAGGGTTTCTTAGGTGGTGCGAAATGGATTGTGTCCATCCACAGCACAGTACTTATTCACTAAGGATAGTTGCGCCTAACTAAGTAAGATGGGCCTCCAAGTACTGCCGAGAAAAACAAAAATGCCTGAACGTTTTATTTGCCTTCTAAAATGGTTAATTATAGCGGCCAGGAACTCACTGAACTATCTTCCCACAAAGGATAAAGTAGAAACGGAACTCGGGAAGTGAGTTCCCTATCGAACCACGAGACCCAAATGGACAGAATTGTCACAAATCATTCCCAAGAGTGGCTTCCGCTTGTTGTCCATCCCGATTGGGCACATGGAATCGCAACAAAAACTCCCCTCCGAACGGATATCCATAAACTGACCAGTGGGGGGGGGGGGGGAGGGGGTGAGCATAATATATATATATATATTATATATATATAGATAGATAGATAGAGATAGATAGATAGATAGATAGATAGATAGATAGACATTGTACCCCCCATGGATCTACTATATATATATATCCATATATTCCTTTCAGCACCCGGAAGACCGTTTTTTTCATACTCATTGATTCTATAAAACGTTATTTATTACAAAACTCATTAGTAGTTTCCAGATTTAGAAGGTAATGTATTAGTTAACTCACTGGCTGAGTGGATGGCCCAAAACAAGTCCAAACTTTACATGTACCACTAAAATGGTCTTTCCAAAAAGTTTAAAGAAAGTTCATGAACTCAGGAAGTTAGTTACTGCTACTGTGGATGGACAAGATCCTGCACCACTTTGATAACGCGAAAAAAAAAACATTATTTGCTGGTATTTACAGGGGCATGATCAGAAGCCAGGGTCTCTGAACGGTGGTGCGAAATGGAGTTCTTCCATCCACAGTAGCAGCTCACATCCAGGTCTTGCAACCCTCTCCCCCCCCCCCCATTTTATTACTGTGTTGCAGCCCTGCAAGATTATGCTATGCCGTTGAAAGACTCTGAAGTGAAAGAGTTGACCCGAGCATTCAAGCTCACATATTCCTTCGCTCCGAGGGTCATGGAGCTGGTCTTTGCACCAACCCAGGTTCACCCTGGCATAGGAGCTGGAGGCCAGTGAGCTGTAGTACCTGAGTACACTAAATCCATCTGTGTAAACCAGCTTACCCATGATGCAATGTCTCGAAGGCATTTCGGTGCTCTTTCAGAGTTCAAAGCCTGATTATGTAGGTCCATATATTCCCCCCTGGCCAATTTGGATTTTGGACCTTTTTGGGGCTGGTTTTGCATAATTAAGAACAATCAAGAACCCAAAAACTAGGGACTCAAGGGGTGCATATTATATACCTTCAGCCTGTGAAGAGTGGAGGTCGGATCGACCCACACACCAAGGGCCAAGGGAGGACCGGCACTCCCAACAAAAGCAGCGGATTGTTTTTACGGAAAGAATGCTCACCTGCCAACTGCGAATTCCCATCCGCGAGCATTAATTTTGGCTTGGCTCGTCCACCGCCGGGGTAGTTATTGTGAACCATTTTGGAAATCACAGCAGTGGCAAAGTTGGGTTATGACCCGGGTTGGCTGAAAGAATGTTTTCAACAATCAATCACTTGGTTGCTTTCTGCTCCCCTGCTAAAACTTTAACTTTTAGTGGTGTAATGGAAAAACCATTAGTTGGCAAAAAGTTAAAGTCCTAACATCCAAGCAAATTGCACCAAAGATCACCTGGATGCACCTCAACATGTCGATGTGTCCAACTCGATGCGCCCCTAGCCGCCGTTCAGGCCAGCCGCCCGACACTCGCATAGCAACTGTCCGGGTTCCAGATTCCCACCAGGACGTAGGGCCTGGCGGAAGCTGAGTGCCGGTCCTCCCTTTGGCCCTTGGTGTGTTGGTCGATCCGACCCACTCAAAGGTTGAAGGTACCTGGACCCTCAAACTACCCATAAAAATGGGATATCACCCCATAATTTTGGGGGTGAAACCCATTTCTAAGGGAGTTTTGAGGGTCCAGGTATACGTTCCTATGAACCGGAGTCCCTAGGTTGTGGGTGCTTGATTGTTCTTAATTCGTCCAACTCAGTGTGGACTAAGCCAAAGAGTCGGCTGATCTCTATTTTTACAAGTCCCAACCACCTTGTGGACATCAGAAAAGGCGGAGAGTTGTGTCCACCAAGCACATGTTTCTGCGGCTTCCCCAAGAAAACTCAGGCCCATAATGACCAGCGCCCTCGCTTTTGGGTTGCCGCACCAAGCGGATTTTTGACGTAGGAGAAACAGTTTGGGGCCCGGGCTGCTTGGGGCGTCGACCCTAAAATACAATAACGTATAGATTTGTGTTAAGAGACCCCACTTGGGTGTTCGATTCGCCAAGTCAGTAAGTTGCTGGTAGCCTTGGATAGAGCCCACTTTTGCGCCCCCGCTTGTGATTGGGGGAGTATAACCTAAGTGATTAATCATTAATTAATGAACCAGTTTGGTCGAATATTTAATCAAACATCTGCAAGACTGAGTGAGAAGCTTTAGCTTTGGGCGGCAAAATGCAGTGAGCCCAGCCGGATTCCAGAAAACCACCCACCCGTCGAAATTTGGCGAAAGGAACGATGGTTGAATGGGGAAAATTGGCCCTAGAGGAACCGCTTTAGGCCGTGTTTTGTAGGATGCATCTCACTTGCCCAAAAGACCTGGGAATAAAAGGTTAACCTTTTGGGACCTTTACTACAAATGGACCAAGATGGGAAAACCAAAAGGTCAAAAGGTCGGCTTTGGGCAAGTGAGGCATACAAGAAAACTGGTGAAATCTTGTTGGATTACTGCAAATCACATTTGTTTCCCCGTCTGAGAGGTGCGCAGAGCAGCCACGTGAAAGCAGGTTTCCAAGGGAGCCATCCCGCGAAAAAAAAGTCAAGAGGAAGATCAGACATGCCTACTCGGCGGCCAGGAAATCCACCTAACATGCAACCATGCTTGAAGACAACCCCAGTGGTTCCATTTCCCTGTGTATGGCAGGTACCAAGGGGAAGCAGCCTTGGGATCTACTGGGCCTTGCACAACGCGAGAGGACTTGCAGCGTCCGAAGCATTGCACGGCAATCCTAATCCTATTTGCGTTAGGTCAAGTGGACTGCCATGCCTGTCAACCCCTGTTCAAACATGCTCCTTGAACCAGTGGAGGGTGTGTTTTTTTCACTCAAAGCAAATGCCAGCTTCGGATGGTTCATATTCAGTCACCCAGTCAACCAGCCAACCCCTGAATTTTAAGAACTCCTGTTGGCTTGACCCCAGAAATGACACCAAGTCGCGTCCAAACCCCCCGACTCAAAGCTTTTTTGCGCGGCGGCCGGGCGGCCGGCGGCCTGGCCGGGTTCTCTTCCTCCACAAAGTTCACGCAGGTCTTATCCTGGATCTGTTCGCCAAGTTTCTACTCGTTGTTTCCAAGCCCATTCTTTTCAACCATCGTTCTTTTTCGAAAACCGGATCCGTCTTCCCCGGGTTTCTGGAGGTTTTCCAGAAAATCCCTGGAAAGAATTGGGAGCTACCCCTAGAAACTTACACGCTGGTATAGGCAGGGAATGAGACCTGGAATGAGCCCGAGAAAAGCCACGGTTTGGTTTCCTTTAAGGGATTTCCTTTCAGGGATTTCCTAGGCTTATTCTCAACAATCTGGAACAAGAATCCAGCGTTTCATTTTCGGGGGCCCAAAAGCGGGTTTTAGGCGACCAAGAACTGGCCAACTTGGCGAATCGAACGCCCACCAGCAAGCCGTCCGGTGGGATTCTAGCGCCCAAAGCATCGGCAATCTTTTCGCAGCACACACACACACACACACCCCTGCTTTTCTGGACACTTGCTAGGTCCTCCAGTAGATAGAATAAGGGTACCAACTTATTTTTTTTCTGTAGTCTATCTGGCTTAGTAGGGGAACCCTCCCCCCAAAAAAGGGTGAGAAAGGGCACTCCTGGGGGACCTAGCTTGAGATGCCTCCATTTGTCCCCGGGAAATAAAAAACAAACATATTTCCAGTCGCGATAGAACCTCTTTACAACCAACAGGAGAAAATACAACATATTCTCAAGTACATGGAAGGATGTTGGGCATGAAATACGTTTGTTAGACCCTTTGGCGAAGGAAAAGGAACTTCCGTTGGAAGGTTTGGCGCCACAAGGCATCCATTTTGCGCTACCGAGGTTCTTAGGGTTCAAAGTTCGTGTCATATGGGTACTTCTTAAAATAGGCCCACCAAACATCGTAGTTGTCCTCTCGGTGTTCCTTTGCAACCAGCGAAAAACCAACCTTTTTGAAGTACCAAGATTCGGGCACTTGATTTTAATGGCCCAACCCTTAGCCCCACCCCTGCAGCCCTTCGCCACTTTCCTAAGGCGAAAACTGCAGGTCAACGCATCCAGCAAGGGGCCTGGAGAAACCCCTTCCGCCAAGCAATGGCAAGCAACTAGACCCCTCGTGAAGGTAACTAGGTCCTCCAGTAGAGAGGTTAGAATTATTGGTGCCAACTTTTTCTGTAGTCGATTTTAGTAGGGAACCCTTTTTTGGTAAAAGGGCATTACTCGGGACTGGTCACCTATAGTGGCCACAAGTGGTGTCAGGCTTGACACGTTGTTTCATTCCAACGGCAAACGCATCTTCCCGAAATATGGGACACTCAAAGAATCCATTCCCTCCTGTGGGAAACGAATCCAGGTTGCCTATCCCAGTGAGTCCTGGGATAGCCACTTTAGTAGGTAACCAACACTTGCCCTCGTGTTTCTGTTTTGGTGGGAACCCCCTTGATTACCTGCCTTTGCCAAGAAAAATACATGGATGCACTGATGGCTTGCCCTCCAGTTGCCAACGAAACCCCTCCGAAGATCTTGGCGCTCGATGCCCAAGTTCTGCCAAGGCGCTCGCCACATGTCCACCGCATCTCGGAAGGCGTTCTTGCGAAGGGCGTCGATGGTCGTGTTGAAGCTGTATCGAACCACAGCCTCGCTCGAACAGGGTCACTGATTCCAAATCAAAAGTTGCAGTCAACTGGTGCTTCGCCACTTTTGGAGGTTAGGGACATGGAGGAAACCCTGTTGAACGATTTCACTTTGAGTAGACAAACAAAGCGGTGTCCAGTTTAGGGGTCGCGCCGACAAGATATCCGGCATTAAAGGGTGTAGTGGGTTCATGGGGTTCGTGTGTGTGCGGGTGTGCGGGGTCAATGGGGCTTCTGGATTCATGGGGGATTGTGTCGTGGTTTATGGACGGACCTGGGAGAACCTAGGTTATAACCAATATACTCACCTGATAGATTGAACATCCAAGGCAAGGTGCCAACGTGCGTGCTGCTGCCACGAGCAAGAAGGTTTGGCTAAAAACTCTCTAGTCCCTGCTCCAGCTGCCTCCAGTCCGTCTGAAGCAAGCCTGGAAGTGGTCCGCGCCCGGGAAGGGTAAATCAAAATGCATGTTTTGCCAGAACCTCCCCCCCCCTTTGGCCCCCACCATTGCACTTAGTCAAATCCCCTAAAATCCCCCCACAATCTAATCCACTCGAAAACAAGCCAATTTCTGTCAAAGCCTAAGAGCAAACAACTGGCAAATCCCCGCTAGAAACACCGGTCAAATTCCTTTTCGGTCAAACCCCCTTCTAGAAACCAAACAGACCCCCTCAAGTGGTCAAATTTTCCCCTAGGACGAAATTTCCCCTGAACCAATCAAATTTCACTCAAGAAACCAAGCCAAGCCCCGTCGCCTCCAAAACCCGGTCCAACTCCGGTCAAACCCCATTAGAAACCGGAAGTTCTGTAGAACCCGTCAGCCAAATTGTTTCTCGTGGCTCGTCAGCCCACCCTCAACCTTCGCTTGGCCGCAGTCCACTACTAACTCTCTGCGGCTCTCGTTGAATCCCTGGAAGCCATGTGGAAACCCCCGAACATGCACCCACCGTCTATCCCGCATGTCGGCCCAGACTCACTCCCACACACGGCAAACCAAAACACAGTAATTACCTCAAAGCCAGCCAAAACCATGCCGCCCTCGGCGGGCAACGCGGGCAACGCGAAGCGTGTACAATAAGACCCTAGCTATTAAGACTATATACATGTTGTTTGTTGTTTTGTTTTGAATGTTTAGAAGAAACGATGGGGGAACCAGTGGAGGAACGGGTGAAAGGGAATCAGGGTGGGTTTATGCCGCGAGAGTTTGGGTCCAGAAAGCATTCATAAAACATCCCCTGGGTTTGTCTCTACCAGCGGAAGTAAATACCTATGTTGGCTTCCCTGGTGTTCAACCGAATTCTTTTTAAAAGCCTTTTGGGGAGAGGGGTAGCAACATCTGCAGGGCTTTTGGGTTCATGTGCCCAAGGGTTGTGTCGAAGTGGTATGTAGAAGCACCCCTGGATTGTCCCAAATCGGACTCCATCCCGCGAGCTCGAGTATTGTTCTCGAACAACATCCTGAATCAGCGATTAGAAATGCAAACATCTGTTGGTCTGAGTGGGTCAACAGGTGGTGATAACTATCTGATTGATCGGTTTGCTTGCTTAGAACATGGATGGGTTCCGCTTTTGCAAAAAGTCACCTATGCCCTGCGGTTCAAACCACCATTAAAAACACTGGGGTTTAGTATAACCACCATCGTTTACCTAAGGATTGGCATCATCGAAATTGGGTCAACCATTATTTTAATGGGGGGATGTCCCTTAAACCCAGCTCCAAGTGTAATACTGTAAACACCGAGCCACAAGTGCGCTTCAGGAGGTCAGGGAAGGTTTTTCTTTTCCGTCAGGGGGTGGAGGTTTGGTGGGTCAGTATGGAACCCCTCAACAGTGGTTCGGACACCAATCGACGGGCAAACAATGACCAACTTCTTTCCCAGTTTTCAAAAGGACACTTTTTTCAGCAACCAACAAGACACAACCTACTTCCTTCCCAGTGTTAAAAGGCTCCTTCCTTCCAAACTAAGCCACCAACAAAACACAGCGGATCATCCATGCGTCGAGCTGCATAGTCCTGCCAAATGTCCTCCCCACTCCCCGGAGGCTCCGACCTACGCAAAACGAATAGCGGAGCCGATTTTTCTCCGCGGGGTTGGGAGAGTGAGCGAGTGTGGGGAGAGTGAGTGAGTGTGGGGAAGGATGGAGGCATGGAGCCCAACAGTCCAACAGCCCATCAAGGTTTCACTGGGACGCGGATCGCGGGAAAATCCGAGATTCGTCATAGGAAGCCCTTCGCAAATTCTTCTCTCGGCTTTGAAAGGGTGGGTTTTCCATAAGCCTAAATGGAATCACTGGGGCTACGGTAAAAACGCATACTGCCTTGCAAACGTGTAGTACAGCTTGAACCCGTGGTTCACCTCGACCAAGAACCTGGGTGGTCCTTTCAGTCACGCCCTGAAAGAGTCAAAATTCAACCACCAGGAATTCTATTTGGGGTACCCATTTGTGGATTTAAGACGTGGTTTTGAATTTGGGACCCTTTTGGCGAACATCATTTACATGGGGAAGCTATGTCCCCCGAAAATTGGCGGGGTAGTTCAGATTCAATGCAGCTTTTCCTCAATCGAACGGCGCCCAAAAACACCCTGACTGTTGGTTTCAGCAACACGGTCATAAAGGTTTGCATGTGCCCTGCCTAGGTCCTCCCTCCACTAAAGAAGTTAGAATGAGGGTGCCCTTTTTTCTGTAGTCAATTTTAGTAGGGGAACCCTCCCACAAAATAAAAGGTAAAAGGGCACCTAGCTGGGGGACCTAGCTGCTATACCCGCATGAAACCATTGTCACCACTCACGGAACCCGCTGGCCATCTGAGTTGACTGGCCCGAAACACTTTAAGCTTGGGGGGCCTGGACTCAACTGATGAGACACCTGCCAACAAAAGTTTCAAGTTGGCCAACTCAAAAGGAAGGGCTTACCAACATCAACATCGCCAAACGGACTCGGACTTTCGGTCTCTCAAGTCGTGGTGTCATGTTTTTTGAGGGTCCCCACCTTTTTCGCAGGTTTCTTCAGAGAAACCAAAGGAGAGTTCGAAATCCATGTTGTTGAGTCTGCGATTTCGACACAGCCACACACACCCATCTAAAACCCCAGCGGGTCGAATACCCCGAAACGGTCGGGCCTATGGCCATAAGGGAACCCCGAATGGTCCAAATCCTTGCGCAAAGGACCCGAAAGTGAAAGGTTTGCCTTTTGGGGCGATTTTTTAAAAAAGTGGGTCCCAACATAGAACACCCACAGGGTCATTTCAGGCCGATTTGCTTTGCGGAACTGAGCCGGGGAAAAATCATCCTTGGGGCAATCATTGATCCTTGAGGAATCCCACTTCCCAGTAATTCCATTTGCCTGTATAGAAAGGAACCCAATAGAAAAGCCAAAGTGACAATTGGTGCCTCCAGGGGCAATCGGAATCCACTGGGCAACCTACTTAGTGCCCTCCCACCCTTTCGGACCCGGTCCCTTTTCAACTTGAAGATTGAAGGACGAAAAGCCGAAAGGACCATTCTTTGTTGCCGGGCAACTGAGAATCCGGAAAAAAATGAAAACGCTTCCCACAATGATTCCCACCCCCCCCCAAACAAAGCAGAAAACAGCACACAAACAAAGCAACACCCGCACAAATCAAAGCAAGCCCGAAAAGAAAGAAAAAACAGAGCAAAACCCAAAAACAAAACCCAGAAAGCCATAAAAAGGAGCAAACACAAAAACAAACACACACACACACACAAACCTGAAAACCCAAAAAACAAAGTCCAAACAAACAACAAAATAAAAAGAAAAAAAGAAAAAAAGAAAAGCAAAACACCAAAGACCAAAATAAGAATAAATAAATAAAAACACACAAACAACCAAAAACCCAAATCACCAAAAAACAAAACAACAAACAAACAAAGCAAAAAGACTCCCTAAAAACAAACCTTCCCGAAAAAAGCTTAAAACCCCCTCCCCCCCAAAAAAAAAAGACAAAACACAAAAACCAACTTCTCCCCCCCAACAAAAAAACGGAGCCCCCCCTTGCAAAAACGCCTCCCGAGGAAAAAAAAGAAAAAGTTCGAATCTCCGGGCCTCCTCTCCGGCCAGCGGTCAACTGCGAGGCTCTCGTGGCCCGAGCGGTTCCAGCCGATGCCTTCCGGAGGACCTGGGCCAACCGGAAGAGACGGGAAACGCGCGCTTGGAACGCCGAAAAACCCGCTTGGAACGCCGAAAAACATCTGCTTGGAACACGGAAAAAAACCAAAAAAAACATGTTTGGACTGCGGAAAACCCCGCTTGGAGCACGGAGAAATCCGCTTGGAACAGACAAATCAGCTTGGAACACGGGAAATTCAACGCACCAAAACACGCCAACATCGGATTCGAACACAGAGAACTCGGCTTGGAAAACACCAACATCAGCTTGGAACACAGAAAAATCAGCTTGGAACACACATATTTCAGCTTAGAACCACCAAAATCAGCTTGCAACACACCAAAACACACCAAGTCACTGGCCTGAGCTTGTTGTTTTTTGTCGCATTTTTGTTCCACGAAGCAATGCTCTGAGTGTTCTTTCGGGGGTGTCCAGCAAGCTGAGAGTTCCTGTTTTTCAGGCGTGATCACCACGAAGGTCAGGCGTCAGCACCACCACCCCCCCCCCCTCTCGCTGCGTTGCTTCCAGTCACCACCACCACCCCCCCCCCCTTCTTACCTTTGACTCACCTCAATGTCTAACCCCAACCCCTTCGCCGCCACCACCACCCCCCCCCCCTGCACATCTTTTCCTTCACTAGAACCACCAACCCCCCCCCCCCCCCCCCCCACCACATCTTTTCCTTTGCTAGAACCACCACCCCCCCCCCCCCACCATCTTTTTGATTACCACCACCACCACCCCCCACTACCCACGCAACCACCACCACCACCCCCTCCATTTCCATCACCACTTTTCGGGCTTGCCTGAGAAGAAGACTGTGGACCACCCGAAACGACTGCTGCTAGCTACTTAGTACATTTGGCAACAAGCTCTTCTTCGAGCATCATGGGGGGGGCTGCCGCCCCCCCCCAACCCCCCCGCTACTGAGTACATTTGGCAACAAGCTTTAACTGCGCCTCTACTCGAATCATCACTTCGAACATCCGCCCGCCCTCTTTGAATCATCACTCCTTCACCCTTGAAAACAGAATTTGCATTGCGCGCCTAATTGAATCATCGCTTCTTCGAGCATCATGGGGGGGGCTGCCGCCCCCCCCAACCCCCCCGCTACTTAGTACATTTGGCAACAAGCTCTTCTTCGAGCATCATGGGGGGGGCTGCCGCCCCCCCCAACCCCCCCGCTACTGAGTACATTTGGCAACAAGCATCACTTCGAACATCCGCCCGCCCTCTTTGAATCCCCCCCGGCTTGATGTTTCACCTAGGTTAGGTTGCATTGCACGCCTATTTGAATCATCACTTCTTCGAGCATCAGGGGGGGGGCTGCCGCCCCCCCAACCCCCCGCTACTTGGTACATTTGGCAACAATATTTTGCTGCGCCCCTGCTCGAAGCATTTCTCCGAACATCCGCCCGCAATCTTTGAATCATCACTCCTTCACCCTTGAAAAAAAGAATTTGCATTGCACGCCTATTTGAATCATCACTTCTTCGAGCATCATGGGGGGGGCTGCCGCCCCCCCCAACCCCCCGCCACTTAGTACATTTGGCAACAAGCTCTTCTTCGAGCATCATGGGGGGGGCTGCCGCCCCCCCCAACCCCCCCGCTACTTAGTACATTTTTGCAACAAGCTTTAACTGCGCCTCTACTCGAATCATCACTTCGAACATCCGCCCGTCCTCTTTGAATCATCACACCTTCACCCTTGAAAAAAGAATTTACATTGCGCGCCTATTTGAATCATCACTTCTTCGAGCATCATGGGGGGGGCTGCCGCCCCCCCCCCCCCCCCGCTACTTAGTACATTTGGCAACAAGCTCTTCTTCGAGCATCGTGGGGGGGGCTGCCGCCCCCCCCCAACCCCCCCGCTACTGAGTACATTTGGCAACAAGCTTTAACTGCGCCTCTACTCGAATCATCACTTCGAACATCCGCCCGCAATGTTTGAATCATCACTCCTTCACCCTTGAAAAAAAAGAATTCGCATTGCACGCCTATTTGAATGATCACTTCTTCGAGCATCATGGGGGGGGCTGCCGCCCCCCCCAACCCCCCCGCTACTTAGTACATTTGGCAACAAGCTCTTCTTCGAGCATCGTGGGGGGGTCTGCCGCCCCCCCCAACCCCCCCGCTACTGAGTACATTTGGCAACAAGCTTTAACTGCGCCTCTACTCGAATCATCACTTCGAACATCCGCCCGCCCTCTTTGAATCCCCCCCGGCTGCTTTTTCAGATTTGTTGCAGGGATTGACCGCACCTCCCCGCTACTTGGTACATTTGGCACCAAGATTTAGATGCGCCCCTACTCGAATCATCACTTCGAACATCCGCCCGCCCTCTTTGAATCATCACTCCTTGATGTTCCATCTAGGTTGCATTGCACGCCTATTTGAATCATCACTTCTTCGAGCATCATGGGGGGGGCGGCCCCCCCAACCCCCCCGCTACTTAGGACATTTGGCAACAAGCTCTTCTTCGAGCATCATGGGGGGGGCTGCCGCCCCCCCCAACCCCCCCGCTACTTAGTACATTTTGCAACAAGCTTTAACTGCGCCTCTACTCGAATCATCACTTCGAACATCCGCCCGCCCTCTTTGAATCATCACAGTTTCACCTTTGAAACATCATAGGGGGGCTGCCCGCCACTTTTGAAGATTTTTTGTAGCAAGATTTAGTTGCACCCCTGCTCACATGTGGCACCAAGATTTAGCTGCACAGCTGCTCAAGGTCATAGGCGAAACCCGTGGATTTGTGTGGTTGGTCCAACTTCTGCCAGGTTTGAGTCGGGCTATGCTTGGAAATTCCCCCAAAGTCGTGATGGCCTCGTGCACTGTTTGCACGCTTGCCAGTCCAAGATGTGAACAGGTGTTCCACCCGCAAGGTGTTCGGCGAAATTTCCACAGAGAGACCAGCCTCCAATCAGAAGTGTGTCCCAGAGGTCCCAAGTACCTCATGAAGATGGCCTTTGGGAAGTAAAAAGGGGTCCCTCTGGGTGTTGTTTTAAGCCGCGCCCCCTGACTCGAAATTTTCGTTTAAGGCAAAAACTCAGAAGACCGCCCAGAGACATTGACCGCAATGCGCAACTAGGATGGGCTTGTTGAAGCAACACTAAAATCAGTGGAAGATGCTCTTTGGAAGGGTAGCTCCCCTAGGTCCTCCAGTGGAGAGGTTAGAATAAGGGTACCCTTTTTTCTGTGCCTATTTTAGTAGGGGAACCCTCCCCCCAAAAAGGGTAAAAGGGCACTACTGGGGGACCTAGTGCTGGTAGCTGGAAACCTGAAATAATGAGCCAGGTGGGTGCGTGTTTGAACAATGTCCACCAACAATTTCGGGGGGGTATTTGTCAAAAAAACATAGGGCATTTGAATTCAACCTACTGTGGATGGACGAAATCCTGCACCACTTTGGAACCATGACAAACCAGTGTTTGTTGGAAGTCAGAAGGGAAACATCATTCGGCTTCTGAGGTGGTGCAGGATTTTGTATACACAGAGTGGGATATTCTCCTAGCCGTAGTTTCCCTTCAGTTTCCTTTGCAACCAAACCCACAAAGGGCCCCCTCAAGAAACGGCACACCCATATGCTTGTCTTTGGCTGACTCCAAAATGGTTGTTCCTTTTGATTTTCCTTCACAAGCCAAAACAATTGGTCTCGGAAAAAGACGCACCTATGTTTGCATGTTCTCAAAATTGGGGACCACTCCGCATGCAAGGCTTCCTTTTGGCTCCCTGTAAAAATGCCAATCAAAACGGCCCCCCCTAGTTTGAGAAACCCCCGCATTAATATGTGTCTGGTTCAAAAATCCCAATCAAAAAGGGGCCCCATATTTTGTAGAAATTTCACTTGCGTCTCATGGTTGGGTCCAAATCCTCACAACAGACACGCGGCCTGGCACAGTGGTGCTGGGCCCTGTATAGGTCGTAGTCACCTCCGTGGTGGTGGTGGTGGTCGTGGTTGGCCCAGGATCCTGTCCACGGTGTTGGAGTTTTCCCAAAACGGCGGTTTTCCTTTATGGTTTCTTGTAGAACCAAGCAAAAGCGGGTACCCTTGTTTTGCTTCTTTGTGTCTTTGTTTGTTCAACCAAAGGGTTCCTTTGTGTCTTTGTTTCTTGTTTCTCACCCGCCCAAAGGACAAGAAGATCGAAGCAAAACGCACGCGCCGTTTTTGTTCCATCAATTTTTGTCTCAGCCGCACATCGGACATGGAGAGAAACTGGCAAACACACATTTTGGGACCTTGACCCAATGTGGACCAAAACTGGAAGACCAAGCCAAATCCAAAAAGTCGGCTTTGGGCCGCTGTTTTTTTGAGGGCATGATATCAAGAACGGGAACAACTTGTGTCCGGTTCGATCCGTTCAAGAAAAGGGAAGGACCTTCCCATCTGAGCTTCAAATCGCTGTTCAAACTTTTTCCCCACCTCTCAGGTGAGGGTCTCTAGCTGTTATGTCGGCGACGTCCTCCTTCCACTCCTCCTCCTTCTCCTCCTTCTCCTCCTGCTACTCCTCCCCTTCCTTCTCCTCCCCTTCTTTCCTTCTGTGCCTCATGTGCTCTTGTCCCTCCCTTACTCCCTACACCGGGGCTGGCTGCGGAGTGTGCTGTGCTGGACTTTTTGCGGGGCTGGCTGCGGAGTGTGCTGCGCTGGACTTTTCAAAGGGCCAGACTTGATGTTGCACGATGGGTCAGCATAGACAATTTGCCCGGGAAAATGTCAGAAAGCATGCCAGAGAACACGCCAGGAAATGGGTCAGAATATATTATCAAAGAAACTGTCAGAAAGCATACCGACATGTCCGAAGTTAGATCGCAACCAACTGATGGAAGAAATCCTGCGCCAGGTGAGCAGTCTTGCCTGCCCTCGCGCTCCCTTTTGCACATTGGAAGCGTCAAGGCCGTGCTTTTCCGACATCTTCGAATGTCCGAGATCCTGCACCACCTTCCTCCAATCATGTCAACGTGGAAAAGGGGGAGCGGGGCGGGAGACCTTTTCAGTACAGGAACCAATTGGGGTGAGGTGGCGCAGGATTTTCCCCATCAACCGTCAGAATAGACGTCGGGGGAATCATGAGAAACAATGGAATAGTTAATGTCTGAAGCAATGTCAGAAAGTATGTCAGAGAAAACGTAGAGTCGTGGAAAACCATTGGTGTTCTCCGATCGGGACTTGAAGATGGGGTTGGATTGCTGCACCAAGGTTGAAGTGAGTGGACAGCATATGGCTTTCCCTTTCAGCGGCCTGCCGACAGTGGTAAGTTTTCTGCCGCGTTTCCTGATGAAACCAAGACCACAAGTGGCTTGCAATTGTTTTCGCAGGGCGCTTGTTCAAAACCAGGCGTCTTGATTGAAACCCACTGGGCGCAAAGCGGCTCACCATTTTGAAGTCTTGTTGCGGCAGTTGTGGCGGCTACATTGCGATAGGCACGCCGGCCTCAAAGGGTTGCAAGCGAGCAATACGAACTTGGTGTCTGGGCATGTTCGTTTAGAGGCTGATCTTGCCAGAACTGGTGCAAAAGCAGCTGTCTTGCTTGACGCAAGTCCAAACTTTGTGCAGGGAGGACCCAGTAGCAAGGCATTCTGGAGACTTTTGCCCCTCGCAGTCCTGGAGGGGGCTGCTTGACGTGGATTAAAAGCTTCAACGGGCTTTGTCAGTAGCAGACGCCAGGGTATGTCAGCTTTTGGCGTGCAGGTGGGAGGAAGCAGGGAGAGGGCGGGTTATCGTGGTGGTGATGCTAATCTTCTGTCGGACTTCCTCTGCAAACCTTTCTGCGCATGTTGCATGACTAAACGGTGGTTTTGCGCAGAAGTGACCAACTTTAGCCAGCATACAGCATGGATTTGTAACCCTATCAAGGGCTTCGCCTGCCATGGTGATGTCTTCGTGGCCGACGGGCGTGACTTCGAAGGATGACATGACAAAGTTCTGTCAGCTGCTCTGTGGCACAGATGTTGTCAGGCAAGCCGTTCTCAATCGGAGTGATCACTCGAGGCAACATAGCTTGGACCTTCACCACGACCAATCTCAGACTTACATGAGTTCCAGCCCGGTGACCTCTTTCTCCTACGGCCGCACTGGTGTTCTCACCTTGGCTTCAGCTGCCGACGGCAATGCTACGAGCATGCTGGTACAGAAAGACGGAGATATGCTGGTGATGGGTGGTAGATTTCAAGAGCGCTATCTCCTCGGTTGGAAGTTGTATTTGGACAGCAGTTTGGGCACGAAGTTAGCGGAATGGGAGAAAAGGGCGATGGACAAAGAACTGCATCGACAGGATGCTCCAGGTGGAGAGGCATTTCGCTGGAATGTGGCTTTGTGTTGGCACCACAGGCATTGGCGTGGATGTGCTCTGCACGATCCAAAGAATTCTGCAGATGCTGTGGAGCTAGTTACCAAAAAAGGGAGCGAAGAAAGCAGAGGCCCAGAGCAGCGCGGGGCTGAAAGCCAAACCGTCTTTGTACTTTGTACGGCTGGTTTCAGCACGGCGGCAGATCACGGGCAAGCGGCGCACTCTGGACCACGACGCCTTGATGGAACTTCGCAGCAAGAGCAAGGCTGCGGGCACCGCTGTGGAGGCTGGTGCGCAGGAAATGGCGCAGAAAGATCGAAATTGTGTGGAGTTGACATCCTATTTGGCTGATCTAGAAGTGCAAGTGTTGCTTTTTCTGGATGCGGTGCGCAGCATGGATTTCTGTCCTGATGGGAGTTCTGGCAGTATTGTTGGCGCTGGGCTTGAGCGATTGGAAGGATACCTACGACACTTGGACAAGACTGTTTCTTCCGCTGCGACAGTGACGCAGGACCTGCTGGACCCACACAAGCAGATTGATGGCTACAGACAGCTGCACACCTTGGCGCAAGTGCTTAGGTACAGAAAACGCATTCGAGAGATGCTGCAGCCTTTTCTTGTTGGGCAGACTTGTGCGCTCTTTGAGTTTCGATCCGCAGGGCAGCTGTCCTTCATTTCACACAGCAGTCACCTGACCAAAGTGCAAATCACTCATTCACAATTATTGCGCATGCTGTCTTGCCTTCGTCCTGAGAAGCTGCAGGAAGGTTATTTGGCGTGTAACTTGCATCAGCGGCAGAAAGGCAAAGTACCGAGCAACAATTCGGGATTTCATGGCACCTATGAGTGGCAGATCTAGATATGGTGCTTTGGTTCGTTGATGTTGGCTTTTTGGATGAAGGAAGCGTGCAGCGGTTCCAGCCGCGCGCCGATCTGCTGGAAGTGTTGCTGCGCAACAAGGATCCGGCCACTGAGTGCCAAGCGATTCAGCGCCTTTTCGAAATTTTGCTGTGGCATTTGCGGCAAATGGATTACGATGGAAGTCATGCTACCCTTGAAGGGTTGCATCCAGCGCAGCAGTACGAAATTGGTATCTGGGTGTGTTCATTTGCGAAGATAGGTACATGGTCACGACCTTTAGCCACGCGCAGAGCGATGCCATATCCAACGACAAGCATCGTGCCAGAACATGTCACGCTGCGTGCAGCTATCGGGTAGCTAGTTTGCGCAACAAGCACTTGGCTTTGAAGAGCCGCGAAGCAGAGATGAAGAAGCGTTGGTTGACCAAAATTCTGCGCATTCAGGACGAGATCAGCCTGGTGCCTGCTGCGGTGGAAAACATGATGTTGTATCGTTCCTTGAGGGCGCGTCAAGACGGTGGCCTGACACCTGCTGCTTACGCCAACGAAGGAGAGCTCATGGGACGCATGCCAATTGCTCTGATAGCGGGCGAGTTTTTACAGATTAAGCCTGCTAAATATTTTCATCCTTGGCAGACAATTTGGAAGAACTGATGCTGAAAGCCCCACAGCGGGTTCACGTTGCGTGAGGTTCAGGTCGCGTGTAAGCTCAAGCTTCCTGCAGAGTGAACGCCTGCTTTGGTGCGAGCTTGCCAAGCTCCCAACAACTCGGTGGCTTTCACGCAGCCTGTGGCGAGAAAAGAGCTTGCCTGCCAGTGATTTGCCGGCGGTTTTTCCAAGGGGATCACTCGAAGTAAAATGCAATTCTGCCTATTTTTGTGGGGGAACCCTCTCCCCAAAAAGGGGAGAGAAGGGCACCACTGCGGGACCTCGACAACCTCATTTTTGGGTTTTCCTTGGGTGTTCAAAGGACCGGGTTGATCAAAGTTTGCAGCACCCAGCCTTTGGTTTCCTTAACATGCAAAGAGTTGAAGCACTGTTTAACCCACTATTGCTTAAACAAGGCAACATCGCTTGCGATTCCATTGTTTATGTGTGCCTGGCACCCAATATAGCTACTGTTGTTTGTGGTCATAAGCCTTTGAACACAAAATACAACGGGTCATATAGCTTTTCTTCAGCAACACGTTGAACAAATATGGGCCCTATACGCACACCGAACAATTAGCACTGTAAGATACAGCCGAATGGCCAGTTTGACAAAAACAATCAGAGTGCCAGTTGGCTTAATACTTAGGCAACCTTTGTGTTTCCCAACTGTTTTTCTGGGGTCCATTCAAGTGACACCACAATTCTCTACAGCCCCCCCCCAAAGAAAATGGGAACTCTGAAACGCTTCGAGGACCCACTGGTTGTTCGTGGACTTCAAAGGAGAAAACACCCGTTGGAAGAATTGGAGCAACCCGCTGGAAGAAAATCATTTGCCTGAACCCTCAAACTACCCATAAACAGTTGGAATCCACCAACTGTAATTTTTGACAGTTTTATGGGTATCGGCAAATGTGACTTAAGAAAATGGATTCCCCAAATGGCACCTTGGAATCGACCTACCTTTAAAAACGGGGAGTGTGGCAATCCAAAACTCATGGGGCCTACTCCCCATTTTTCAGGGCACTTTCGGGCCCAGGTCCGGCAAACAAGTTCCTGGGACGCAAGACACAGAACTGTTCCCACCTGGATGTTCAACTTGCTTATAAGCCAACAAAGCCCAGTTGCCAACCCCAGGCAAATGATCAGGTCCTAGCCTATTTACCTGACATAGGCAACGAACATCCAAAATCTTGGGCTCTCTCCTTCCATTTGCTTAAGCCCCCTGGAAAAACTAAGAACATGTCCAGTAGTGCTAGATTCCCTTTTAAAACCAAGAGGGAAAAAACAATATTCTCAAGCAAATGGAAGTCTCTCTCTCTCTCTCTCTCTCTCTGCACCGCTTCCGCCGAATCCGCTTCCGCCCACCGAGTCCATCCGCTTCCGCATCCGCCTGGCCACAGAAGGTGCCGCCGAACTGCGCGCAGTTCTCCGCGGTGGTGTGGCTGTTGATCATGAAGCAGGCACAACGAGCCCCTGCGTTCCGCGGATCCGCAGCGCGCATCGCGCAGCCGGGGGTCCGCGCCGCGGATACGACGGATACGACCGGGTCGGGGAAAAGCCCCCGTGAGACCGGGTCCCATGCTGTTTTTTGGCTTGTTGGCATACATGTGCGTTTTCGCCCCCTGGACAAATTAAAACATGTCCAGTAGTGATAGATTCTCTTTAAGACCGACAAGGAAAAACGGAAAAATATATATGATTTTCAGCAAATGGAAGTTTGTGGCTCAGATTCCGCACCACATAGATGAGACTTCCGCATAATCCAGAGGACCGGTACTCATCAGGGGTTCCCCCTTTTCTTTGGCAAGGGACTTATCTCCCTTCTTTCCCCCCAACAGCTGGTGAAGCGTTTTGGGGTTGATAGGCGAGGCTTGGGGTGGTTTGCGGCAGTCGGGTTCCATGTTCGGGGCAGTTGGAAATACCTGGGCGTTTCCCTTTTGTAGCCCTTAAGCATCAACTTGAAAGGCGGTGCCATTTTCCCCTTCGATTGACCCGCACCCACTGCTTTTTCCACCATGCACCCAACATCCCCTTGGTACGGGGTTCTCCAAACAGCGGTTGGACCCAAACGCTGCTAGGGAGTTGATTGTGAGTGTCCCTGCAGTTTTCGCACACGCACTGGGCTGAAGGGTGAATCTTTGAATTTGGGCAGGGACTGGTGGTTTATCAATGGTAGGGGTTGATTCCTTTTCCATTCTTTTCAACCATCCTTCTGTTACAAAAACCGGTTCGCCGTGTCCCCTGGGTGTTTGGGTGGTTTCCCGAGAAGATTCGGATCCCTGGAAAGAATGGAAATGGAAGGTACCCCTAGAATGGTCAAGGCACATGTCTAGGTCCAAAGAAGCTTGGGCTCTGCAGACTGCAGCATGGAGCCCCAATTTCCAGCCGTGATTTTGTCGAATCGCTTTGCGGTGGCAAAACATCTTTTGATATGTTGATGCTTGAATACGCGTGAGCTGAAATTCGGACGATTGCTGGTCAACCCGCATGGATGAGGCCCTTTTTTGTTTTAAACAAATAAAATGTTGATGCTTGGCATCCTGGGCAACTTACAGAATATCATGAAAATAGTGGTAATATGATTATCGCTGTTAGTATTTTTGGCTCCTTCCAGAATCTACAGAGTGTTGTTAGCGTTTTCCCTTCAAACCACCTTCAAACTACCCATAGAAAATGGAATTCACCCACCATAATTTTGGGGCAACCCATTTTGAAATTGTGAATGGTGAGGGTTCAGGCACCTTCTTTAGGGGTAGTTAGCTTCTCTCACAAGTTTAAGAGTGATTGCCCGCACAAAGCATCGAGGAAGGCAAGCCATGACTGGGTCTGGCATTGTCTTGAGGCTCGGGCCCTCTTTGGTCTTCAAGGGAAATCAAAAGGACAACCGGAACTTCCGCCATTTGGGGAGGTCCTTTTTTCCTAAGAGACAAGCTGCCCATGTGAGCCATGTTGAAGACTCCCGTTGCTTTTTTGGTCGAATGGTTCCCAATGATTATCATGCTTAAGGATACCTTACTACCATGTGGATGGCCATTCCTGTTGACCCCAAGCAAAGGAATCGGTCTGTTGACCGTGGCCTCGCACACGGCATCTTTTCGAATGGAATCCCTGCAGACCCCAAGTCTCAACCCGCCCGCCCTTGTACCTACCTTGCTTGGCTGTTCAACCTGTAGCAAGTAATTAGACTATAACCGAACCTTGCTAAGCCAACTAACCCCAACTTGCCCCAGGCAGCTCTATCCTCGGTTGTAGCCTGCTGACCTGACGTAAGCAACGAACATCCAAGTAGGACTCATCTTTGTTATAACCGCGGGCGATACAACAAAAAGGGCCTCCTCAGACTCTTGCATCACAGAGGGGGGGGGGGAGTAAACTGTGAGTGATCGATCCCACATGGCCTGCTTCGTACCAGGCATAGCAAGCATAATCTGGGTGCGTGCAGGGACACGAGACCGTCACCGGACCTGGACGCAAGGCTGGAGTCACACGGGCAAAAAGAAGGCGGAGCGGAGCTGCCTCTGAGATATGCACCGATACCCCATATACATAGAAACATATGTGGCTACGTGTTCAAACTATGTAACATGTGTATAAATATATATATATATATATATACATATACACACATGCATTTATGTATATAATATAATGTATGCATATATACACATATACATACATATATATATATATGCATATGAAATGTGTGTAAACATTGCACAGTGTAAATATGTATCACTTGACAATACAGGTGGGTACCCCGAGTTGAAATGCATGCCAAAAGGGGGGAAGGGCCTTTGGTGAACATTCATTTACATTGGAGTATGCCCACACAATTGCTTTATGGCAGGTGTTGGTGGCCACAATTCCCGTCACATGCCCTTATTTGAACCTCTTAACCATACATTAATAGTATTATTATTTGTGATATTGCTATTGTTGTTGATATCGTTGTTAATACTGTGGACGGACATTGTTTATATGTACAGGGGAATCATCATTCCACGACTTCTTAGATGGCGCAGGATGTTGTCCACCCACAGACACTATCATTATCATCATTAATACTATTACTATATTATTACAATTATATACATGTGCGCCAGGGTCAAAATCTGCTACACTCTCTAAATCATGACTTTTAAGTGTTTGGTCCCAGGAACCAACTTTTCAACAGTAGGTAATCAGCCAGCTTCCTCGTTTTAAGGCAGTTCCTGGCCTGAAACCATGAGCTCGTATTGCTCTGGATTGGTCGGGAAAGTGCCCAAGACCTATATATATAGTATAGGTTTTGGGGGGTATATATATATTCGCTTTGGTGACTTTGTGGATGAATGGCTGTCTTTTTTGAGGGCACCCCTGTTTTGGCGGGCAAAAGGCAAACCAAAAAACCACCGGTCCCAAGAACCGCAGACCCGAATGCCAAAGAACATAGAAGCCCCCCCGCTGATTCCAACAGCGCTATTTTGAGCATCCGGTTTCTGCACTTTCAAAGTAATCTACAGGATTCGGCATAGTCTTCGCTCAGGTTGGCATGGTTATGCAAAGACATACTTGCTGTGATGCCACTGGTCATTTCTTCAGCGAACAAATGGAGTGGGCCAACAAAAGTCAAACTTGAATCACTCACTAACATGGCCTTCCTGAGTGGATTGGCCCAAAACAAGTCTGAACTCCACCAAAATTGCCCTCCTGAGTGGATCGGCCGCCAAAACACGTCTGACATCGTTTTTTTCACCAAAAAACAACACATACCTTCCCAAGCAGTGACGCAGTCCGAGTCCCGGAACTCAGGTGAGTTTCCAGTTCTTTTGCTTCGCACCACTCACAGAAGCAGAGAGTAAAACAGTAAAACCAAGCTTTCCGAACTGGACTCAGTTGCCCTTTAGGGACCTGGGTGACGTTTGCATGGATCGAATGAGCAAAGTGACCCAAAAAAGGACACCTACTCAGCTGCCCAACGGATTTAAGCTATCATAGACACAAGCTTAACTGTTTGGAGCCATGTCGATTCGCATTGGTTGCAACTGAGACAACCAGAGCCAATTTGTGTGTGGGACTCCAAATTTAAAAGCTAGGATTACGCAGGCTTTGGTCTTTGGTTCCATTCACCAGGTGCCATTTTGGCATACATGTGAGCCACAGCCATTTGTTTGGCCAAATTGCCAGCCTTTGAGCATGTCCGAGGGGCAGTCATTCTTCGCGGCGCTCAGCAAGGCCACTTCGGTTCCAGGCTGCACCACTGCCTGCACTGTGTGCGGCTTCCCAGATGCGAATCTTAACTAAAAAAAGACGCTCCTTGGATCTTCAACCCACTGTGGATGGATGAAATCCTGCACAACTTTGGAACAATGAAAAACCATGGTTTGTTGGCAGTCACAGGGAAATCATCATTCTAGGGTGCAGGATTTCGTCCATCCACAGTACGTCAGGTAAGTAGGTCATAACCAAGGTGACAACTGGGGCAAATTGGGCCTTACCATGGTCATAACCTATTTGCTAGGTAGGACTACGTAGTTGAACATCCAAGTGTGGAGTTTCAAGTCCTACCAAACTTGGATAGGCTTTGGATGTTCGACGAGCCAAGCTAAGTCGGCCGGGCAAATAACCCTAGTCACAACCTACTTCCCTCACGGCAATGTAAATCCAAGTTATATAGTGGGTAACACTGGGGTGAGTTGGCTTTCAACCATGGCCAGAACCTATTTGCTAAGTATAGGCAACACACATCCAAGCAACCCCCCAGAAGCCCGAACACACACAAACACCGACCCCCCCTCCCAGAAAAGCAAACCACACACACACACACCTGTCCTCCACAATCCCCCTTAAAGTAAATAAATAAATAAATAACTAATAAATCAATGAATAAACAAAAACGACGAAGCAGCAAACAAAACACAGAACACATATACACACACACACCAAAAAAAACAGAGAAACACAGAAACTCTGGGAAAAGAAAACAACAACTCGCCCCCTCCCCCCGAAGAAAACACAACAAAGCTCGCAGGCGCACGCCTCCAGGCGTCGGCTCACGTCCTCCTCCTCTTCCGGATAAATGTGGCGACCCGTGGCGATGGAGTCCACGTAGGCCAGGTCCTCCTAGCGAAACCCGCCTGGGGTGTCCGTTTTTTCGTTTTCAGATCCCCCGCTAAAAGCTTTTCACTTTTAGTGCCCAGAGGGTGGGAAATTTCCATCTGACCTCTATTAAAAAGCGGTTCAAAACTAAATCCAAACCCAGAGAGGCTCCAATTCGATTGGTTTAGGGCCTTCGAACAGCCTGGCTTTGAGACCGGGTCCCAACCACCGTGTAGTGGGGTGTCTAATGGAGGGGTCGGGTCCATTGAAAGCCCTGGGGATAAGATCCCCCTCGTTCTCAGGGAATCAAGAGGGCTTCAGGAATGAACCCAGGATTTCTTAGGAAACCACCAAAAAACCGGTAGAAACTGGGCTTCCCTCAGATGCCCCGCGAAAAGTTGTATACGGAAATCCAAGCACTAAACGCTAAGAGGCCTTAAAAAGCTAGGCAACCCGATGGCTCTTCCATCGGGGCGCAAGGGCTTTGGCAGCATCCAGGGTGGCCCCGGGGCGTTTCCGTGCCGCCTTGAGTTGCGTTTTCCCCCCTACCATAAGGGGGGGGGGGGGGGAAATTTGGGGGTGGGGGGTCCACAATTCCGGTTATCTAGTCTTCCCGTTACAATGGAAATGGAACTATAAATGGAATTCCAAGGGTCACATCCCTGCCCCAATTCCATATTTAAGGGGGTGGCGATGTTGCGTTAGACTCGGGGTATCAAAAGTTGACCTGCGGATGGACGAAATCCTGCCCTTGCAACTCTATGGCATGAGAAACCGTTGTTCGTTACGGTATTTGCGTTGGGACATCGAGCCATGCCGATGGGTTTCTGATTTCGGTGGTGCGAAACGGATGTCGCAACCACTCGCAGCATTTCGAGGAACTCCATCCAAGGCCCCATCGAGCGGAGCCGGGGACTTGTGAATAATGCTGGGACCCGATGACTGGACCCCTTGACCCCCGCATTCGCGGACATCAACTAGGTCCTCCAGTAGAATAAGGGTACCCTTTTCTGTAGTCTATTTTAGTCGGGGAACCCTCCCCCAAAAAAGAAACGGTAAAAGGGCACGACTGGACCTAGTCAAGAATAATTGTCCAAAGTAGCTGGGATCCAATTGGGGAGTCCCCTTTTACAAGTTGATCCATTTACCATCCTGCCGCCCCAATGGACCTAGTTGTTCTGCCTTGTACCATTTTCTATGGGTCAATGGCAGAAAAAAAGGGTTCATTGGGGGTCCGGGAAGTGTATTCATAGGTGGCCTTTGGCAACAACTAGATGGGTTTCCCTGGCAAATGGGGCATAAAACCTATCTAAACCAGTGGAACCCATCTATTATTAACTAAACTAACCGATCAAAAGGACACCTCTGAGTGCATCGGTTTGCATTTTAAGTCAATCCCCACTTTTGGAGGTTCCAAGGGAAGCCAACCCAGATCCAGGCCCTGGCCCAGCCGATCCCGAGGAAACTGATCCAAAGGAATCTGCGTCCGAAAGCCAGATGGCACCTTCAACCGGAAAGCATCTGGACCCCGAAACTACCGCAAGAAAAGGGCTTCACCCATCATTTGGCTGTTGTAAGGAATCTTGAGGCTCCGCTGCCGTGGATCAACAAAAAAACATATCTTACTTCGCACCGGTTGGGATGGACGAAGCCCTGATGAATGGGATAACCAATTGGTGCGAATCCACCTACCTGAACCCTCAAAATTCCCTCAAAAATTGGTTTGACCCCCAAAAATTATGGGGTGATATCCAATTTTTATGGGTAGTTTGAGGGTCCAGGTACCAATTGGTGTGAATCGTAATCCTAAAGGGCAAAGCAATGTCTCCAGTCCCGTTGAGCCAGTAGACGAATTCCTGCACCACTTTGAAGCCGTGGTCGAAACCATTGCTTGTTGTTGGTATTTACTTTAGGGAATCGAATCATTCCATTGGGTTTCTAAGGTGGTGCGAAATGGATTTCGTCCATCAGTATGGCTGTCCCTTGACTTTAGTTCCCTCAACCACTGAAAGAGAGCCAAGAAAGGGAACCGCATCCATATTGATCCCAGATCCCAGATAGCACTACTATAGTAGGCAACACCCCAATACTGGGCTGTCCGTTTTCAGATCCCCCGCTAAAAGTGTTTCACTTTTGGTGGGTTAAATACGGAAATCCAACCACTAAACAACCAAGCAACATGGATCAAATTTCAATCAATCCCTTCCATTTGCGCTTTCGCCCCCAGGAAAAAATGAGTAAATATGTCCAGTAGGGGATGGCTTGGGAGTCACCAAGAATAGTATAGGTAACCAGCCATTTGATGCTACTCTGTAACAGGGTTTCTTACATTATACACCTGAATATTGCCTTGTAAATGGTGGCGTCCCTTTATGTTGGTGGAAAAAGCCATGTTTTAAATGGTTGCAAATTGTATCTTTTAAGGAGCCCTGTCAAACTTCCAATGTTTGTGCGACGTTTTTTTTCGCTCGTCCTGCGTCAGGGAGGTCAGAGGCGTCGGCAAAGCGCCGCCCTCCTGGAGATTTGGTCGGGAAACGAAGACGGGCGTATCCTGCGGTGAGGGTATGCTTTTGGAGCCCTTAAATATATGAGCCTGGAGCCGTTCCCAGAAGAAAAAGAAAAGGGGGAATTCACCCCATACCGTGGATGGACGAAATCCATTTCGCACCTAAGAAACCCTGGTTTCTGATGTCTCCCCTGTAAATACCAACAAACAATGGGTTCAACCATAGTTTCTTAGGCGGTGCGAAATGGATTTTGTCCATCCGCATTGTTGAGCAATAACCCAGTTTGAAGGGCAATCCCCCGTGCTGAGCTGGAGGCCAGTGAGGAGCTGGAGCCCGAGTCACAATCAGAAACCGGAGCGGTGTTAAACATCTAGGGGTCCTTCCCCCATTCCGAACCCAGGGATCCACGCCAGTATCTTTGGGATTCTCCATTGCTGACCTTCATCTACCCGGGTTTTGAGGACGTGGCTGATATGAGAACCCAACTAGGTCCTCCGGTGGAGAGGTTAGAATAAGGTTAAGGGTACCCTTTTTCTCTGTAGTCTATTTTAGTAGGGGAACCCTCCCCAAAAAAAGGGTACAAGGGCACTACTGGGGGACCTAGCCAAGAAGAATCATGCATTGGTCAAATCCGGTCGATCGATTCGCTTTGGGGTGAGACTAACTTGGCCCACAGGCTTATGTTCAGAGTCTGTTTCATATTCAGATACATCTTGTCTGCAAAATGGCTTTGGCGCAGAAGCGCGCTGAGCCACCCGGGAGATTGGTTTGAGAGATTCAGAGGTGGCTATGGCTAAGACGCTACCTGAAATATCTTGAAACCTTGATCCTATAGAGGCTACCTCAAAGAATCTCAGAGACGTGTACGCTCGCTCAGGCTCAGTAGGGAATGACCGAGACCGAATTTTCACCGTTTGGGATTCCCTGAAAGGAAACCAAATCGGGGAAGGTTTCTCTTGGGGTTGTAAAACTTGGTGGAGTCGCCTCGAAATGCCCGGTGTAGCGGTAGACCCGGGTGTCGCACAGCTCCGGCCGCACCCTGCGACTTCTCGGCCAGGCGAGCGCCAGGCCTAGCGAGCCGCTGAAGGAAGGGGGAGCAAACCCCCCACCCGGTGGGTGTATCCTTAATCCGAAAGAACTACCTGAACGGATAGGGGCCCGGATTGTTGAGTTCCAATTCTTTGGAGGGTCCAGGTAGCCACAATGAAAAGGGAAGTCGGCCCATAAGGTGTGTTGGGGCAACAACCCACTAAGGGGATTTTCAGGGTCAATAGGTACCATTTTCCCTTTTAGGGAAGCCAAAGGGAAAGCTTGAACCCGAAAGAATTACCCAGGTGCGTGCCAGGATCAAAACTCCCGTTGGTTTTTGCCGATTGGGTCATGGTTCTCCAAGAAAATCTGATAAGGGTTCAGGATCCCTATTAGCCCTCAACAAGAGCTTATTGAGGGCTTATTAGGGCATATTTGGGCACCCTCCCCTCCTCCCTTTTGCCCAGCCCCCATGACATAACCAAGAGTTGAACATTGATCCAAGGACCACTTGCACCTACGAAAAAGTGGCTTGCCACAGAATCCTGGCCAGGAATCCAAGTGCTGCTTCCCTCGAACATGGTGGCTCCGCGCCATTTCAGTCCAGGGCGACGACTTTCGGTCGCGGCCGCTCGCTCAGTTCAAGGGGCCCAATTTTGTCCGCCCGGAGGTGAAACTTCTGGTACTTGAGGGCCTCCTAACTTGGAAGTTGGAAGGCGGCGGAGTTTTCAGAGGCATCACTCTCCAAAGGAGTTCGCCAGAAATCCCCTTTTCCAGCCGGAAAAAAAAGTCTTGCAGGTATTCTGCCACCTCGAGAGGCACCTGGACCCTAAAACTACCCATAGGAAATGGGGGAATGAGCCAACCATAATTGTTGGGGATTCTTGAGGGTCCATGGTAGAGTTGGTAAGTCTGAAACCATGTGTATTTCCAACTTAAAACATGGGTCGCCAAGTTAGAATCAGGTGAATTCTATGGGTTCCCCAAAAACCATCATTTTGGGTTGCCCATGACAACACCTGGCAACGCATGAACAAGTTGGATTCTTGCCTTGGTTTCTTTTCTCTGGAGCTGACCCTCACGTCCAAGGCTCGGCCACGAATGCAACGCCAAAGTGTGAACTGGGCGGTCCGGTTTTTTTCGGATCCCCCGCCGACAGCTTAACAACTTTGGCCGAAGCCACTCGGGTGCGAAATCTGCGAGGCCCTGCCAAAAGTGTTTTTAACTCTTAGCGGTTGAGTGGAAAACCCATTAGTTGGCAAAAAGCTAAAGTCCTAGCAGCCCTTGGCAAAATGCAAAGTTAAATGGAAACCCAACCACCTTTCACCAAAAAACAACTAGAAAGCTAAGTTGAACCTGATGGGAGATGAAAATAAGCTTGTCCTGGGCATCTTGTCCCAGACCCCCAGTGGTGTTCAAAGGGGAGCACTTCTGCAACCCACTGGAGGTTCGGGACTTCAAATTCGAGGTACCTTGAAACGAGGAAAATGGATCGAAGGATTGCCTCTGGCACCAAACATTTTCTGGGTTGTTCTTGCCACACAAGCTCGTGATCGACCTTTTCTAGGTTTGTGCTATACAATCCTTATAAGGAGACTAACCGCAGCTACCCGAGGCAAATAATCATGGTTGCAACCCACTTACGAAGTGGGCTCAGATCCCCTGACAACCGCTTAAATGGACACCCACCCACATTTCACCCCCAAAAAAATCCACCTTAAAAACGGGTCTGACTGACCCCCAAAATCATGGTTGGTGATCTCCCGTTTTTATGGGTAGCTTGAGGGTCCAACCACCTTTCACCCAAAAAAAGACGACGACAAGTCTAAGGCACCCGAAGGGCCTGCGAAGTTGGGTTGAGTCAACCCCAACTCGGAGTGGACGTTGGGTTTGGGGAGCCAAAAATTGTCGGAGTTCGGCGGAGAAGGGGAGTTGGAGCTCAACCACGAAATCACAATAAGCAAACATGTTGTTTCTTTTTGTTCATTTTTTTAAGTTTCCCCACAACAACCATGACTAAGTAATTAAAATCATAATCAAAGCCCGGCATTGAAATGATTGACCCAGAAGCATGCTTCAGGAAATACAAAGGCGGCCGCAACTATTCATGGCTGGGATTGTCCCTTATCAACCTTCATTTACCCGGGTTTTGATTGTGGCTCAGGTACCATGATAAGCCAACTAACCCCAGTTGCCAACCCCAAAGAATTCACCTTGCTTCCTCGCTTCCGGAAGCGAGTTGACTGGCCCAAGAGAGCAATCCCAGCCTTTCTGCTTGCCACCATTTGCCACCAAACCCAAGATCCTCCTGGGTTTGGCTTGGGCTTCGTGGGATGGCAGCTCAGGTTCGAGCCCACGTGGGGTGACGCGATGACGCGCGGCACGGAGCGCGCCTGGCGGGGGCTTGCGCCAGCGCCAGGCCTGGCGGTTCAGCAGCGAGGCACCGCAGCGGCACTCCCCGCCGTCGCTCAGCCCGAAGAGGTCCAGACCTCTCGGCGAGCCGCTCCCGGCGAGCCGCTCGCGGCGAGGCCCAGGCGGCCGCGAGCGGTTTGGGCCCCGGTCAAACGGGGCGGGATCCTCGTCTTCATCAGGTTCAACCAAATCCAGGTCTAGAACGAACACGCCGAAATGAACTGGGCGTGTCCTTTTCAAGGTTGGAACCGAAAAAATGCTGGTTTTCCTTTGGGTGCTGCTTTGAAACCAACCAAAAGAGGGTTCCCAAACAAAAAAAGACCGCCCAAACTCGGGTTCAGGGGTGCCCAGCATAGAAGGCTCCAATCCCTATTGCTAAAAGCCAATCCCATGGCCAATTCCCCCATCCCACGGGGGCCTTCCATGTTGCTTCATCTTTTTGGGGGGTCCAACTCCTTTTTTGGGGGGGTCCAACTCCTTTTTTGGGGGGGAAAGCTTTGACTGACAGTGGGGACTTTTCCATGTAACCCGGATCCTGCTGGCCCATCGCTCTACCCGCTCGCGTCACCTTCCCCATCCAACCTCCGTTGGATTTCCCGAATTTTCAGCTTCCAACTCCAACTGGTTTGGAGCTCGGTGGCTTGGAGTTCAAACCCAAATCGAAACCGCCGATCCAAGCCGCCGGCTAAGGGGTACCAAAAACGTTTTTCCGATCCGTGTGAATCAATTTGGGCAGCACACTTCAAATTTCAGGCAACTGGAAGCTTTAGTACAAAATCTCCCCTCCCCCCCCCCCTCCCCTCCCCAGGACCCGCCACTCCCCCCCTCTCCCCCTCCCCCTTCTCAACAGGCCTTTGCCCGTGCAGAGCCGAAAGCAGCCTCCAGGACGCAAGGCCTCAACTGCCATCTGCAATACTGCGCCGTACCAACAAATGGCAGTGGCTCAAAATTAAACCACCAGGAATCGGACCGCGGGTTTCAGTCCATGTTGCCATTTACAAGGGTTCTGTATTGGGTAGCTATTTTTGACCCACAGCCACATGGGTCCGTCAATTTGTGTGTGGTTGTTTCAAGGAAACCAAAGTACAACCATTTTGGGGTTTTTTAAAGCAAAAAAGGAACCACAGCCATATGGGCAAAAAACCAAGGCAGGCTTCATGTAACACCCAAAAGGAACATGTTGGTGGCTGGCCTGTCATCTCTACTTGGACCATTTGGTGGGTTGGATTTCTGTCCACCAGCCGCTTTTGAGCTGGCGCCGAAACTAGGCATCCAAAACACCACAGGCACTGGCCGGGTGCTTGTAGAAACCTCAACCCAGCTTTCATCGGTGTGTTGCAATATGTTCAAACCCGCATGTTCTTTTTGGTTGTTGTAATTGTTGCTTCTGGTCAGATTACAACCTCTGGCCCACTCTTACGCGATGCACACAAAGTAACCCCGGAAAGAACACACGCGAAACAAACACCTTTGTCTGTTGCAAGGGTCTCTATAGTTCCCCCGTTTAACATCACCCCATCCAAAGGAAACCAACATTGAACATAAATGCTTGAGGTGAGGCAAAGCGGAACTATAGAGAACCCTGTCTCGCCTTCCCACAACAGCGGCCCATCGTTCAGTAGAGCAAAACACAAGGCACCACACCAACGACCCAGTTCGTGTCGTTTATGCATTTAAAGCTTTAGTTGTTGTTCAAAGACAACCAGGTATATGTTGCTTACTTTTGTACAAACCTTTCAATAAGCGACAAACACATGTTCGGCTTCGTCTCAAAATTCAAAATTCAGGAATCAAACACATGTGGCTTCCTGTTCAAAACAAGACGAGCCACCCGTCTGTTTCATTTCAGAACCTCTCGCCCTTGGGCTGGAGACGCCATGAATCACCTTCTAGGTCCTCCAGCAGCGAGGTTAAAGTAAGTAGGGGAAACCTCCCTCCCTCCCAAAAAAAAAAAGGTAAGAGGGCACCCTCTTTTTCTGTAGTCTGTGTTAGTAGGGGAACCCTTTCCCCCCAAAACAAAGGGAAGAAGCCAGGGTACCAACTTGTTTCTGTAGTCTATTTCAGTAGCGGAAACCTCCCCCCGAAAGAAAGGGTAATAAGCCAGGGTGCCAACTTTTTTCTGTAGTCTATTTCAGTACCGGAACCCTCCCCCAGAAAAGAATGGTAATAAGCCAGGGTACCAACTTTTTTCTGTAGTCTATTTTAGTAGGGGAACCCCCCCCCTTCCCCCCAAAAAAAAAGAGTAAAAGGGCTTTTTTCTGTAGTCTATTTCAGTACGGGCACCCTCTCCCCCCAAAAAAGGGGTAATAAGCCAGGGTACACACTTTTTTCTGTAGTCTATTCTAGTAGGGGAACCCCCCCCCAAAAAATAAAAGTAAAATGGCACCCTTTTTTGTAGTCTATTTCAGTAGGGGAACCCTCCCCCCAAAAAAGTTGTAATAAGCCAGGGTACCAACTTTTTTCTGTAGTCTTTTTTACCCCGGAAAAAAAAGAGTAAACGTAGGGCACCCTTTTTTCTGTAATTAGTCTATTTCAGTAGGGGAACCCTCCCCCAAAAAAAAGGGTATGAAGCCAGGGTACTAACTTTTTTTTCTGTAGTCTATTTCAGTAGGGGAACCCCCCCCCTTCCCCCCAAAAAAAAACAAGGTAAAAGGGCACCTTTTTTTTCTGTAGTCTATTTTAGTAGGGGAAACCTCCCTCCCCCCCAAAAATAAGAAGGTAAAAGGGCACCACAGGGGGACCTAGCCAAGTCATCGCCGCGTGGCTGACTCGGTGAAGCGGTAGAAGGGCAAGCCGCGGCGGCAGGGGGCGACGGACGTCCAGCCCACGCAGGCCATGTCTCGGGGGAGGTCGGCGCCTGAGCCCTGGGCAGACGCGGCTATGGGCCAACGTGCCAACCTCGAGGAATTGGTCGGGGTTTTCCATTGGAGGGTCCCTTATGGGGTCTGCATTGGAGGGGTCCGGGGACCCTTAGGGCAGCATGGATCGAATTTCAATCCATCCGAGGGGGACAAATCCTGACATATTTCAAGGCTTCAGTTTTGTTTGCCGCCAACACAACTGATTACTTTGAATGATTTTGAATGTATACTCCTCCATTTGCATTTTCGCCCCCTGGAAAAAGAAAGACATGTCTTGCCAGTAGTGAAATCGATTCCCCCTAAAACCAACAAGGGTTTTCATAGGAAGTAGTCTTAAGCAAATTTTCAGGTCAAGGAAGTGGGATTGTCCATGGCTTGCGTTTGAGGAAACCCCCCTCCCGGAAGAAAAAAAAGGAAACACTAAAACGCACCCAAGTTGGAGGTGTGTTTAAACCGGTTGGATGGTTTTTTGCGGGTGGAAAGAAAGCAACCACATTTTGGACTATTTACCACTAAACTTTAAAGCTCCAGGAGCTCAGGGAATGAGTTGAGTTGCCCCGGTTCTAAAAAGTCCTTCCCCTGCCCCTGGCAATTCCCTGACAGCCCCCACCCACTTCATGGCACGCTGGACCTTTCAATGGACCCAGAGCAAAGCCTTGGGCTGGGTATGGAATTTCGGCATCCGGAGCCTCGGTTGAAGGCTCGTCCGGACCCGCGAGGCAGCCAATGGTCTCAAAGGCACCTCCATGGAACCCGCGTGGAAAACTCCTCTTGGTCAACGTGCGAAACCAGAAACCTACCCTCTACTCCAAATACCCGCCTTTTTTTCAGGGTATGATGACTAAAATCGATGTATTTACCAGGTTTCCCAGAAATACCCTGAAACAAGCGGGTATTTGGAGTAGGGGGTACAGGTGAAGTCTCCTTCTGACTCTTACAACATCCTTCTGACCCCTACAAAATCCTTCTGACCCTACAAAATCCTTCTGACCCTTACAAAATCCTTCTGAAAGTTTCAAAACCCTTCTGAGCCTTAAATGGAGACCCATTTGCCCATTATTCGGGGTCATGACATCATGTTAAAGGGTAGGTTGAAGGTCGTAGGATTTCAAAAGCTTTGCTGGCAACAGTTTCAGGAGAAGTTGTCTCAGAGAATGCCAAACGACCCATGTGACATGTGTCTTTCGGCGGCTTTTAACTCCTTTGCCGAGCCCAACTTTGGGTTTTGGAACACCCGTCTGCCCAAGGCACCCGAAAACAAACAGTTCGCCTTTTGCCAGGACCAACATAGGAAAACCAAAGGGTGAACAGGTCGGCTATGGGCAACTGAGGGGCAATCCTTGAGGCACCCAAGAGATTCATCGGGCTGCATCGCAAAAAGTCACTCGTTCTTTACCACTTCTTAGTGACCCAAGCGCCGAAAGTTTTTGAGGATGTCAACATGGACATCCAAGCCAGTGCTGCCTATTCACAATCATCCTGCAGGTCTTTTGCCAGGTACCATGGAGAGATTATCCCCATCACTTAGGGGGTTCCCTTGGCATCACAAATTCATTATGAACCTAAAGCCGCGTTTTTCATTGTTAGGCAAATGATCATAGCTGAACCGAATTTCAATGCAAGAAACATCCATCATGGTTGACGTCGCAACACCCCGAAACGTGGCGGCGCAAGAAATTTTGCTTGCGCCGTGGCTCTCTCTGATTACCTACTATGGCTTGCCTAGAACTACGAGATGTTCCGTTGGCCCAGATTCAAGGATCAAGGTGCACCCCATATGTTTCAGATGCTTCAAGCAACCCAGCTAGTGGCGGCGTATTAGTGTGTTCCCAAACACGAACCGTGCAAAGACTCAAAGAGACGCGTCAACGACTCTTACTCACGCCCAGCCAACTGACCTTCGCCAGAAAAAGCTCCAACTTGCAGGGCCTTAAATTGGGCACCCATTGCTTGGGATTCTCCCTAAGCTTCATCTACCCGATGTTTTGTGGCCAACTCGACAGGAAAGAACCATCACAGTGGAATCCAGGAAAAGTGGCTAGGTCTTGTGCCCTTTTTCCTGTAGTCTATTTTAGTAGGGGAACCCTCCCCCAAAAAGGGCACTACTGGGAGACCTAGGTGGTAAGTTCATCTTGAAGTCAAGGGCGAACTCACCTAGACAGTAGACGGCCGCAAACAAAGGCACTATTTTGGTACCCTAAGAATCTTGGTGCAACCTTCCAATCGAGATCCGAAGCGACCTCTCCAATGGAATATGGAGGGTCCAATCAATGGCAGTTGATGTTAAACGGGCCCATCCCCGCCAAAATACATGCCGGTAACCAACAAATGTCGTCGGTTTTCTACTGGGCGGTTCCCTTTGTTACCCGCCCACCCGCCTGCCCGCCCGCACGCACGCATCCACCCACCCACCCTAGGCTTCCAAAGGCCTGGCTAAGTGAGATCGTTCCAGGCGGACCCGGTTTTCAAGTGCATTCACGCGTTTTAGTCCTCCCTTGTAGCAGCTGTTCTTGTCGTATTGCCATGCAAAAAAAATGCAATCCAGGGGGGAGTTTCGGAGTATTTTATGAGGTCGTTCGGGGCCCATTCATCCTCAAATCCGATGTTTTGCTGGGTGAAATGGAAACCCAACCACTGAACCAACGGAAAAAAACAACAAGCCGAAGGAACTGGAGCGGAGGATTCGCTGGCTCTGAACCAAGGAATCACTATGCGGCAAACAAAGAAACACCTGAACCCTCAGACTACCGAGGAAAAAACACGTGGCAATCCACCAACCATATGAGGCTCGGGTCCAGGTCGCCAAACCTCATAAAACCAGAGGAAACACAGGGGAACATCCAGAGAGGTTAGAACAAGGGGATGGCAACTTCTTTCTGTCTATTTAAGTAGGGTAACCCTCACCCTGCCAACCAAAATTGAACCGGTGAGAGGTCGGGCACCCTTTTGCGGGACGTGGCGAGACGGAACCATCGGCTCTTCCGATGCACTGGGCTCTTCGGCAGACGAAGCCATTGGCCTCCGCCGCGGAAGCTGCCGACGGCCAGCTGCTGCTGCTCTGGCGGCCTGATGGGCCCTGCATGCGTCGTGCGTCGTGCGCGAAGGCGTCCACTCGGAGAGCTCCGGACTCCGAAGGCCACTCGGGTACTCCGAAAAAGGGCGAAAAACCACGGCTAGGTCCTTCAGTAAAAAGGTTGAATAAGTTGGTACCGTGTCTTTTTTTTCGGTAGTCTATCTTAGTAGGGGAACCCTCCAGCCAAAAAGGGCTACTGCGGGACCTAGATGGTATAAATGAATAGATTTAGGGTACTTCTTCTAGGGTTCTTCTAGGGTACTCCAAGCTTCTCAATCTGCTCTTAGACTTGTAGTCAATCGTTTTGCTTGGCGACCCCAGATATCAGTCACGAGTTATTGTTGAGAAACTCTTCAAATGTTGCCCAGAATTCTCTCACATCACTCCCAACCCAAAAACCACTCTAGAAAAAAAAAGGACAAACAAAACGCACGGGCAGATTTACACCTGGAAGAATGGCCACAAATCCTCATAGCTCTATGGTAGGTAACCAAGGTAACCACCCTTCAAAAACCAACAGGCAAATTGCTTGGTTGCTTCCTGTACTCGTAACGGGGATCCACTGGGTATAATTCGCCTCGGCCCCAAAGGGGCCAAGGGCGCTCAGATCTCTTCTCCAAAGAGTCCCCCCCCCCCCACCCCCCCACCCATGTCGGCTGGCCCAAAATCCTGTCCGGCGGGCCTTGAAATTTTCGGGGTTCGTCTGGGCTCAGGCCCAGCCCAACCAGCAACCCGCCTGCTGGCCAGGCCTGTCAGCCCAGCCCACCCAGCCTCAGGCCAAACAGGCCTAGCCCAACCAGCAGCCCGCCCAAGCACGGCCCCAAGTCATCCAGCAAGCCTGCCCGGCCCCCAGCGTGCCAAGTCAGGTTTGTCTAACGTGTCTGGCCTCAGGCCAACGACCAGTCTCACGTGTCTGAGACTGGTCTCAAGCTATGCCAGCTACTAAGCCTGTCTGACGTGCCCCAGCCCCTCAGTCCGGCTGCCCAAGCAGCTCAGCCCAGGCTGGCCAGGCCTTGACCTCTTGCTCGCGTCTGGCCCCAAGTCATCCAGCAGGCCCAGCGCAGTCTGAGACTGGTCTCAAAGTATGCCAGCCTGAGACTAGCCTCAGGCCCAGTCCCTCAGCCCGCCTGCTGGCGTGTCTTACGTGTCAGCTCAGCCCAGCCCGCCCAGCCCAAGTAACCAGCAGCGTAGTCCGGCTGCGCGGCAGCCAGCAACCGGCTGAGACTAGCTTCAGGCCCAGCCCAACCAGCAACCCACCTCAGCCCAGAAAAAACGCATCCTTTCTTGGTTGCTTGGGTTTCTCGGGGAAACCTTCCCAAAGACAGTTGAACAAAGAGCCGAATCCACTGGGCAACTGGGCAACTTGGAAACCTTCCCTCAGAGAACCAATGGATTTCCATGGGACAAAAGGGCCTTTTTGGCTGGCTGAGTTGAAAGGGGGACCCTTACCCAAACAAAAACTGAAGAAAGGGAGCAACCCACTGGTCGACAGATTTTTCCACCAAAAAGGAAAAACAAAATTATTCCCCTCCCCCCTAAAAAAAAATGAACGAAGAAACCTTCCCCCCCCCCACCCCTCCCAAAAAGGAGAAAAAAAAGCCCCCCCCTCCCGCCCTCCCAAAAAAAGAAAACAAAAAAAGAGGGACACCTTTACCCCCCACAAAAAATAAATTAAAAAACACATTGCAACAAACAAGCGGAGAAACCTTCCCCCCACCCCCTCCCCCTCCAAAAAAAGGGCAAACCTCCCCCCGCCTTCCTTCCCCAAAAAAGAAGAAGGAAAAGCTACGCCTCGCCCCAAGTTCCGCGTTCAAAAAGCCTTGGCGCTGTCTCCCCCCCGCCTTCGCGGCACACCACCACGCCGCAGTCGCAGCGCCGCCAGCTCCGCGGCTTCGCGCCTCGAAACGCATCGACGGCGAGGCGAATCGAGTTTTGCTGGGAACTCTGTTTGGGGGGAGGGAAAACTCACCTGAGCCGTTTGTATATTTGTATTTGTGTTGTTGGTTGTTGTTCCTTTCTTTTTTTCTTCTGTGTGTGTGTGTTGCTTTTTGTGTTGTGTTGTTTTTTGATTATTTGTTGGAATTATGTGTTGCCTTGTTTTTGTTTTACGCTGATTTGTTTTATTGTTTTCTACACAAACAACAACTAAAGAGTGTGATATTCAGAACTTGGGTGTGTGATTTGCCAAGTTGGCGAGTAGGTTGCAACCCATGGCTATCAGCGGGGTAACCTTCTATCCAGCGTTTTAACCTGCTTACTAAGTCAGCTGAACACGCAAGAAACAAGATTGAATTTATGAGCATAAAGCAGCATAAAACAAACTGCAAAGCCAAATAATCCCTATAATGGTGTCTGCCAAGCGGTCTTGCTGGCCCTGAGTCAGAGTCAGCCGCATTGCCCCATGACATTTTTGGTGAGGACCCGTATGCCATGTTGGCGCACACAAAGGAACGGCTTACCTTTCAAAAACACATTGACAGGTCGGGAATTCATCCTGGGAAGGTTGGTCCTGCTAACAGGGTATGTGAGGGTTGCCTAGTTGCCTCACGTCGGATCGAGTGGATTGGCCAAACAATAACTTGTTACCACTCCCAGTGGATCCACTTACTCTGTAAAGCAGGCAACCAAAGGAACCACCCACTAGAGAAACCAAGAGTTGAACATGGATCGAAGGTTACCTACAGTGGCGAAGCAATTTTCTGGAATCTGGGGGAATGATTAGTTACCACTACGGCCTAAAGTATGTCCAGAATTTTGGGAGGTGAGGAGAGGACTCGGGAATTCGGCGCGTCTGGGATTTGAAGTGAACCAAATGACACCCAACGAACGCCTCGCATGATGGACTCTGCACACAACCCACGGAGAATTCCTGAGGCTCCCCGTTTTGGTGGAAAAAAAACATGCCATCTGAACGGAGGCACCTCAAAGCAGTTGCCTTGTTGAAATAACAAGCTTCCAATGGAGATCCCTTAAAATGCTTCCCTATGGAGGGTCCCGATTCTCTGTTGCAAAAGGGTGGCACTGAGCACTGGGAAATTGAAATCGTCTGGCAAAGCGAAACATCCATAAGTGGGGGACTAAAGAGAACAGTGGGCATTATTTGATGTTTTCTTTTTTGCGAGCACCCCAAGTAACCTGTTGCTTTTGACAAATATGAGTGTCACTCTGTGGAAGGACCCACAGGGAAAGCAACAAGAATCCCAACCCTGGGTTTATCTTTCACGTGCCAACTCAGGGCACTAAGCACGGACCCAATAAAGAGCGGTGCAGTGGGTCATTTTTGGGCCGCTTTCGCAACAGGAAACCAACAGCAAACCTGGAGGCTATTCGTTTGTCCAGTGTTCACCCTAAACACCTCGTAAGTACTGGAGCCAACAAAGGAAGCCCAAAGCTTATGATGCACCTGAACCCTCAAACTACCCATAAAAATGGGATATCACCCCATAATTTTGGGGGGTCAAACCCATTTTTAAGTTGGAATTTTGAGGGTTCAGGCAGAAAAAAATGACCTTTCTTGGGACGCCCTGTTTGTTGCATGACAGGAAACCAACCCAGTGGATCCATTTACCTGCTGGGATCTACACATTGGCCCTGCGGACTTTGCAAGGATTGGCTGAAAAGGGTCCCTGGGACCCCACACCAACTCCCAGTCCAACTCCAACCCGAAAGAACCACCTGAACCCTCAAATTCCCTTAAAAATGGGTTTGACCCCCAAAATTGTGGTTGGTGATATCCCATTTTTATGGGTAGTTTGAGGGTCCAGGCACCCCTTCAAAGTCAATTGGACCCTCCCTGTCAGGTTCCGTGTGAAAAAAGACGGCAGGGTATTCGGACAAACGAACAAGCGAAGATACGCGGGGAGCAGGGAAAAGGGGGATTCCCTTGGCGCCATTTCCCACATCAAACTTGGTCAAGGTGCATTTAGGGGGAATCCTCCTGTATCCCTGGTTCCCCCTGCCTCCCTGCTAGTTGGTTTCCGAAACCTCCCCGGATCCGCGCGGAACTCTGGTAAATGGAACCAAGGACAAACCCTGCGGTCCCCTGGTGATTTAATTTTGACCCATACCCAATTGATGGCGGGGTACCTGGACCCGACAGAAACCTCCCCGGAGATCCGCCCGCATCCGCGCGCGGAACGAGCCGCGCGCGGAGCCGCCTGCGTCGCAGGCGGTCTCCGGCAGCTCCCGGCCATCGTCCGCGGAGCGGCAAAGCACCACGCCTACGGAACCACCCGAAAGCCGCGTGCTCGTGCGAGGCCAAACGAAAGCCAAGAGGAAGCCCTGGGATTTTTTCAAGAAGCCCAAGTCCCCGATTTCTATTTAAGGAGCAACACCCAAAGAGGGGTGCCCCCCAAAGAAGCAAGGGGTACGTCATAGAAAAATCTAGGGGTACCTTCCATGTCCATTCTTTCCCGGGATCCGAATCTTTTCAGGAAACCATTCCAAAAACCCAGGGAAAACAGATCCGGTTTGTGAAAAGAAGGAGGGTTGAAAAGAATGGAAAAGGAATCACCCCCTGGAGGTTTCCTGCTGTTTCTCGGCGGCTCAAGCAACGAATCCTCCGCTTCAACTTGGGTGTTTAGAGGTTCTCAGTTGGTGAAAGGTGGTTGGGTGTCCATTTCTCCAAGTTAAACTTTTAGCAGGGGATCAGTTCAACAACCCGAGCTTCCTTCTTTTGGGGGAAGGCCTACCGTTTAAACTCAAGCAACCAACTTGCCAGTTCGATAGGCAGGGAATGAGAAATGGAATGACCCCGACATAAACCATCCCTTGTTGTATTCCCAAAATCAGTTGAGGGAATCCCTTTATGTTTCCCTTGTTATATTCCCTTGTTATATTCCCTTGTTATATTCCCTTGTTATGTTTCCTTTAAGGGAATCCCCAGTTATATTCCCAAAACCCGGTCTCGGTCATTCGAAACGCACCAGCAAGGATTTGGGCGGCGAACGATCCGACGGCTTTGGCATTTGTCAGAGAAAAGCTTTAGCTTTCAAATCCGATGTCCCGTGGTTTTGTCTGGGCTGTTGAAGAGACACTGAAGGGATGTCTAATGTGAATGAAATGGCTTAGAGGGTTCAAATCCCCAAACCAATCTGAACATTTGCCATGCAGGTCTGTGACCAAATCATACAGCCCACGAACCTGAGAGAGGCCACGAACTCTCATGCAGAAATGCGCAACCCCATACCCTCACGAACAAGCGACATGTCCAAAAACATATCCGAAGACATCTCCCAAGACATCTCCCAAGACATCTCCAAGACAGTCCTAAGAAGCTGCAGAAGACATCCCCAGAAGATATGTTCAAAGACATGTTCCAAAGACAAACCTTCAAACACATCCCCAAAAGCCACTCCCGCAAAGACACAACACAACGACGGCCTCCAAGAATTCTCAGCTGACATGTTCTGAGACACCCCCCAAGACATCTTCCAAGACATGCCCCCTGAAGATACCCGCAATGACACGAACGACAAACCTCAAAAGAAGACTCCGAAAATGCCGCCAACGACGCGCAAACACATTCCCGAATACATCACCCAAGACATCTGTGACAGTCCAAGAGTGATATGTTGGTTGTTCAGCTCCCGGAGGATGCAAGTACCTCATGAGGATGGCTTTTTGGGGGTAAAAAGGGGTTGTTCAGTACCTCCTTGAAAGGTACTTGAACCCTCTGGGGCTTGAAAAACCAGCGTCCACAAGCGCACGGAAACTTATGAAAAGCCCGGGCGCGGTGTTGAAAGGCTCTCTGCTTCTGCCGCTGGAGGTATGGCACGTCTACCAAGAGACACTCCTGAGGGCTCACAGGTGCAGGGCGGTGGGAAACGACCGCTGTAAACCAAAAGACGAACCCCCTCCCTCGTTTTTCACGGGGAGATGCCCTTGTATCACAGAAGTGGTTGGATAAACCCCGAGTGATCCCACAACCCTGCACAGGAGTGCAAGATGTCCAAGTGGGAAGCGGGAATTGGCCTCTAGGATTCCTGGACTAGTGGACCCATCCTACCCGATAGGCAGGTGTCCCTCACAAGGCTCAAGATTTCTTACAAGGAGACACCATGCCGGGTTACTAAATCGACAGGCAATACAGCAACGTTTAATTTGTTCCCCACCCTGAAAAGAGAAAGGAGGGGGAAATACAAAGTTAGGGGACAAAGACATGCTGCTTTATTCCAAGGTGGCCGAATTCCATGCGTCCATGCTTTTCAAAGGGGATGTGTCATTTCCAAAGCAACACCAAAGCAATACTAGAGCAATTCTAAAGCAGTACTAAGCGCAACTTCCTGAGACCACTTGAGTAGGTCCAACTCTGACCCCCAAGTTGTTTTTAGGTGTTTTGCCTGTTGACCGCCCAGGGGGGGGGCCTTTGCTAGTCACTCCCTCACATTACTCGGCTTCATGTTGCCCTTGATACGTGCAGTGAAACCTCCAGCATGGGCTTTGGTTTCCTTTTGGTCTCCCTTGAAGCCGGCCCCTGCCTTGGGGGGGTACGACCCAAAAGAAACAAACCCATTCTAGGTTGACTAGGACAAGAATCAAAACATCTGGCCATGGGTCAAAACCCCGGTTAGCCCCCAGTGAACATCCCAATCCCCACTAAAATAGGCTCTAAAGCCCAAAATGGTACCATTAGTTTTGAACCAGGGTCATTCAGCTTCGGACGAAAACAAGCGCTGAGGCGACATGGTTTGGGGAATCTTGGCCTTGGCCGATTTGGGCTCTTTCCCAGAAACTCGGACGTCACAAGAGGCGCTGTGGAGGGACGAAATCCATTTCGCACTGCCTAAGAAGCCCTGGAATGATGATTCCCCTGTAAATACCAACAAACAATGGTTTCAACCCTGGTTTCAAAGTGGTGCAGGATTTCGTCCATCACCAGTAGGTAACCACCTGGATCGCCAAGTTGCCTTTGTTTTCTTTTTCCAGACTCAACATACCCAAAGAACAGTCACGATCCTGGTTGCAATAACCAATTCTTAGCACAGTTTGAGCATTTTAATGGTGATAACTCCACTGCAGGGCAATTCCATGCCATGCACATGACCAAACCTTACCCTAAAAGAATACAAATGAAATCGCGTCTCGCCCCCAACTAGTTGTTGGGGTCACTTGGCGGTGTCTTTTTTCAGACCCCCCCCTCAAAAAAAGAAGAAGAAGCCCAACCGGTTTCCCCGTCGCTTTTCCTATCTAGATCCCACCAAACAAAGGGTACCACCCCCCCCCAAAAAAAAAAAAGAAGGAAACAAACTAACAATAATAAATAATAATAAAATAAATAAATAAAAATAAAAATAAAAATAATAATAATAATAATAATAATAATAATAATAATAATAATAATAATAATAATAATAATAACACTAATAATAAATAATAATAACAATAATAATACTAATAAAACGAGCCACCCATATCTGTGGGTTCTAGGTCCCCGAACCCCAAGTTGACCAAGGTCGGATGTGCCACCTACATCAGCTACCCCACCTTTGCTAGATCTTTGGCAAAAACCCGGTCCCTTTAAACCCAAAATGGTCCAAACCAGGACCCCCCCAAAGTGTGAGGTTATACTAAAAAACTGGGAGGGCAAGTAGAAGTTGCAACCAAGGTTATTGGAATAACTGGAAATCATACCCTTACTTGGTTGCTGTTGAACCCCCCCTGCAAAAAGTGTTTTAACTTGTTTTGGGGTTTAGTAGAAAACTCATTTTTCCACAAAAAGTCTATAGATCCAACCCAATAGCAGTCACGCTTATAACCTCCATGTGCTTAAGTCCCTGGAAAACATATCAATATTTCTAGCAGTGATAGATTCCCTTTAACCAACAGGGGAAAATAAACAATACTCATTTCAGCGAATGGAAGATCACCAGGGCTACAACGGTTACAACCCACTTGCCTGACGTGGGCAACGAGCACCCAACGAACTCGCCTCAAAGGCTTCGGCGACCCAGGAAGGATAGGAGTCGACGTCTTGTCGCCTCCCCACCTGCGCGGAAGAGAAGCAGATTTCCTTTCGATTTGAAAACCGATGCACCCTTGTTTCGTACCTCAAAGGTGTAAACAGGGCTCCTGGACCCTCAAATTATGGTTAGCGAGTTCCTGATTGTTGGGTAGAGGGTCAGGTTTCAACTTCACGCCCCCACCCCCCAGTGGATCCCAGGCGTTTCGCCATTATAGTAGGCATTCCTTCAATCCATGTTCCTCTTGGTTTCTATTTGGGGGGTTCCCTCGGTAAACGGATCCAGGGTAAACATCGCCCAAGAGGAAGCTCACCACAAACATGGGGTGCCCAAGCAGGCGATGTATGCTTACTGCCACCACCCTTCTAGGTGTTGATTCTCCATTCTTATCAATCATCGTTCTTTTCCAAAAACGGATCTGTAGAAAGAAGGATGCCTGGAGTGATTGGGGAAGGTACCCCTAGAACCATAAGAATCTTGGCACTTCATGTTTCAGGTCCCAAATCTTCCAATGGAAATTTGCCAGCGACGATTCTCCAACGGAGGATCCTGTCTGATGTGTTGGTTGAAATTTGCTCACCATTTAGATGCCAGCGATGGAAACCCTGCGGAATGCCCGAGACAATTCGATGAGAAGTGGTGGTTGGAGAATGAGCCGGTTTCTATACTTCTCCCCAAAAAAAAGCCACCCCAACGGGAAACTCATTTTAACTTGGCCCAAAAGGTGATGCGTAAATCCACAGACAGAAATCACTGCCTGAACCCTCAAAATTCCCTTAAAAATTGGTTCGACCCCCAAAATTATGGGGTGATATCCCATTTTTATGGGTAGTTTGAGGGTCCAGGTGGAACTAAGCCCGGCGCCCTGAATCTTCAAAAGACATCCTAGAACTCCCCCAGACTTGGATTTGCGGCCTGCCTGCAAGAGCAGGTGCGGCTTCGAGCAGCTCGTACACTTTGCCTCAGGCCAAAGAAGCCGATCCTCGAGCCAGGGCCCAGAGGATCTCAAATGCCAGGTGCTTCCAGTTCAGAGATGTTCACCACGGGCTTTGCGTGGGTGTACCTGGACCCTCAAACTACCCATAAAAATTGGATATCACCCCATAATTTTGGGGGTCAGACACATTTTTAAGGGAATTTGAGGATTCAGGTATGTCTTTTCTTAGGTGCTCTTTTTGTTTGGTCTAAATGGGTTTCCCGATAGAAACCAACCCCGAAAAGGGTGGGTGGGACATATTATTTTTCCTCTCTGTGCTCTATTACCTCTAGGCCGCACCTATGCTTGGGGCTTTCCCTGGATCAAACTGCCCTCTCTTGGGTTCTCAAGGACATGGGAATCCCAAAATGGCGCAACGGTGTTCCTTTTCCTCTCCCGAACAAAAAACCAACCCAAGGGGCACCCGCAAAAAGTACAAGACATTGCAAGACACAACAAATCCCAGTGGATCCATTTACCTAGGTATATAACCAAGTTGGCATCACTTAAACAACCAAGCTGATTTTTTTGTTGATCGAAGGTGACCTGCGTGATTGTGCCTTGTCGCGGATTCCTGCAATCGGCTACTTTCCACCGCCCGGAAGAAGATCGACCCTTCGCTTTTGTTTGGACCCGGAGCCACGGCTCTCGGCTTAGGTGATGCTGACCCAGGTTAGGGGGGGTTCCCTCCAAACGTGACGAATCCCACTAGGGGACACCCCCCCCAAAAATCAACCAGGGGTTCTGCTAATTCCCGGGGTTCGCATTTTCCAGCCCTCTGAGCCCCGCGCCGCGAACGCGCAGGCGACGGCCGGGAGCGCGAGAACCGCCAGGATCAGGGCCATGTGGAGGGCGCCCAAGACGCGTCTTGGGAAAAAACGGCAGAGATCGGCGGAGTTGCCCTAAATCCAACGAGTCACCTGAGTCACAATCAAAACCTGGTACAAAAATAGTGAACCCAGAAAACCATGTGAAGAATTAGAAAGGCGGATGTCCGCAACTATGTCTGGCTGGGACTGCCCCTTGCTCACCTTCATCTACCCGGGTTTTGATTGTGGCTCACCTGGCTTTTCGATGGTAATTCATTTTAGGGGTTTCCCACCCCATAGGAAAATGGTTGGTTGCCTCCCCCAGGGGATCCGTTTAATTACCATTAATTACCTGTCACGCGATGTTACGCCAGTCTCCAAGTTCTTCAACGGACACATCCGATTTCTGTCATTTTTGGCAGTTTGTGGAGCAGGTGAGCTCTTCACTGGCCATCCTTTCACGACCCCCACTGGATTTCCGCGGAAAATGAGCTGCCAGGCTTCTCCCAAGTTGAACAAGGCCACTGGCGGAGGTTCGGGTCATCCCGTGAGCCCATGTTGCTCCATACGGAACCTCAAGACGGTTCAACCACCAGTGCCCTCAAACTACCCATACAAAGAAGAAAGCAAACATCTACCAACAACCACCTGAAACCTAAAAAAACTACCCATTGAGCAAAAGAGACAAACATCCACCAACCATAGTCTTGGGCTGCAATCACCCCGGTCGCCAAGCCTCTTACAACCAGAGAAAACATGGAAAACTCCCACGGGCGGCGCATCGGGGTCGGATTTCAGATTGGGCTCTCTTCAGCTTCCCTCTGGGTGCTTTGGGTGCGGCTTTTTTGATGAGTTGCTACCCCGGGTTTGGTGGTGGCAAAAGGAAAAACCCAAAGGGCATTTCTGCGTGGTTTCCCATTTGCCCTCTACAAGAACCGGGTTGCTTTTTGGTGAGCAATTCCAAATGTCATATCACCGTCAATAGTCCTGTCGCCTTGCAATTCGCTAAAACTACCACTGTTTAAAACTACTTTATTATCAGCATAAGCTTTGTCAGGAATGATTGGTGGTTTGGTGGTTTGGTGGGGTCCTTTCCCATTTACCCTCCAAAAGAACCAATCCAAACCACAAAGGAAGCGGACATTATGGATTGCCTAAAGCTTGGGTATGTTGCAACTGGATTTGTTCATGACCTGGGCTTTGTCTTCCTCTTGCTCTTGCTTGGAACTCAAAACGACGCCAAAAGGATGTCCACTGAACAAAAATATACACGCGCACACGCACACACATATCTGCTTGGGTCTGGTTTTTGTTGGAGTTGTACCCCAAAATGGAGCGGTGTCAAAGGACAACCGCCGGGAAATCCACCACTTGTTTGGGGGAGCCCAAAAAAAACCAAACTCTTGCGGCCCCATGGTCCTTTGCCAAGCGAGTCACTTTTCTGTCATCCGATCGAGGATTGCAAACCGGGGTCTCAAAGCAGGTGATTTGGAGACCTGGGAGTACACCCACTGGGAAATGAAAGGAACCATTTGCGCGTATGAAATTTCCGCATAACACCGCTCTGATTTTTTGTTTGGAAGCATTTTGTGGTCATTTCCCAAGGGTGTAATCCCAGGGTGTACTACGACAACTGATGGAAAAAAACTGTAAGTGTATAACCCCGGAAAAAAGAAAAAAAAAAAAGGACAAATATATTTAAAAAAAAAAAAAAAAAACAGCTAGACCGATCGTAGGCCATTAATCCCAGGTGGGTGTCTTTCCCATGGATGGCTTCCCCTGGTTGCTTCCCCCTTGGGCACAGGGCTAAATCATTCCAAGGGGGTTGAGGGTACCACGGCACAAAGCTAAGTCACCATGGGAATTTTTGTTGTTCACTTTTTCCAAGCCTTGGTATGGTCGCGAAAGACATGTTCTTTTCTTTTTCTGCAGGCCCCTACTACCAATGAACAGAAGAAGAGAAGAAACAAACATGCCAACAGCAAAGCAGTTGAAGTGATCACCTTGTCTCTTGTGTTTGATCGACCAAGTCTGACCAAGTCCCCGCCAACGGCCTCCACGTCGCGTCGCGTCAGGCAGTTTCAGTTTGAACCATAGAACTGCGGACCCCGAGATTTCCAGCAACCACTTCCCAGACCACTGGCTCTTCATAACAGGCTCCTGGACCCTCAAAGTGTCAATTCAAAAATGGGTTATTGCCCCCAAAATTATGGGGAGAATTCCCATGCGGGTAGCTTTTGAGGGTTCAGGCTGTCAGGCTCTCTTCTGTGCCATCGTCCGGATTTCATTTCTTTCTGCCAGACGCGAAATACCACCCAAAAACCGACTCGCAGTCGCTGGTTGCAAAAAAACGATTCGCAATCGATCCAGGTTGAGTCGGGCTCTCTTTTGTGCCATCGTCCGGATTTCATTTCTTTCTGCCAGACGCGAAATACCCCCCAAAAACCGACTCGCAGTCGCTGGTTGCAAAAAAAACAAATCGCAATCGATCCAGGTTGAGTCAGGCTCTCTTTTGTGCCATCGTCCGGATTTCATTTCTTTCTGCCAGACGCGAAATACCCCCAAAAACCGACTCGCAGTCGCTGGTTGCAAAAAAAACAAATCGCAATCGATCCAGGTTGAGTCAGGCTCTCTTTTGTGCCATCGTCCGGATTTCATTTCTTTCTGCCAGACGCGAAATACCCCCAAAAACCGACTCGCAGTCGCTGGTTGCAAAAAAACGATTCGCAATCGATCCAGGTTGAGTCAGGCTCTCTTTTGTGCCATCGTCCGGATTTCATTTCTTTCCGCCAGACGTGAAATACCCCCCAAAAACCGACTCGCAGTCGCTGGTTGCAAAAAAAACAAATCGCAATCGATCCAGGTTGAGTCAGGCTCTCTTTTGTGCCATCGTCCGGATTTCATTTCTTTCTGCCAGACGCGAAATACCCCCAAAAACCGGCTCGCAGTCGCTGGTTGCAAAAAAGGTTCGCAATCGATCCAGGTTGAGTTTGAAGGACCTGGACCCTCAAAACTACCCATAAAAATAGGATACCACCCCATAATTTTGGGGCATTTTGAGGGTTCAGGGACACCCCGTCAAACCAAAATAATCCCGGCAGATCCCATTTACCTGGTAGGCCGAACCAAGGGGACAGTCGAACATCACTTCGGACATGAATTGAGGGGTCACCCATCGTTGCCACGGAGGTTTTGGGATCACAGGTGGTCCTTTGAGGGGAAATAGATGGGTTTCCCCGGTAGATGCTTAAACCACCAGGCAAACCAGGGAAACCCATCTAGCTTTCGAGCAAAACCAAAAAGGACACCTATGCCTATCCTTTTGACCCAAAAAGTAAGCTCAAAGAAAGGTCACCAGTCAGTCCGGGGAAGAACTGAGGAACTCAGTCGCCAGTCTGGAGCAAATGTCTGCGTACCATGTTGCGCCAGGCTTGTCCTTTTGCCATAACACCAAAAAGGGCCACTTCGAACATGTCAGATCTTGCGGTTTTGATTTGGGCCATGTGCTTGTGTATATACAGATATATATTGTTTCTGCTTGTTTTCCAGTGACGTGCTTCCACTTGCTTCAGCTTTCTGGAAAATAAAAATAATAATAATAGTAGTGATAGATTCCCTTTAAAACCAACAAAAAATATAAACATATTCTTAAGCAAATGGACGCGTGTGGTTTCCGCTGTCCGTGGTTGGTTTCTTTGTTTTCCACGTGAGAAAAGGAGCCGCCCGTTGCATTGTCTCTGGCCTCCACCAGGAATTCCTTGCCTGGTACGGCAACGGCACCTGGCGTCGCTCCGTGTCGACCGGCGAGTTCCACCGAGCCTCAAAACAGAGAACCTGGACCCTCAAACTACCCAAAAATGGGAGATCACCAACCATATTGTTGGGGGTCCTTGACCCATTTTTAAGTTGGAATTTGGGTTCAGGAACCATTCAGGGTGCATGCAGACCCTTCCTCATCCCGACTCACTAGACTTGTTCTTGTGGTAGAGACGATCGGCGATGATAGAAAACCCACTGACGAGCCGCTATATATATATATATATGGCCATGGGTCAAAACCCCGTACCCCCAGTGAACAAACCAATCCCCACTAAAATCCTGACTAAAATGGGTGGTGAATTCACCTATCCCAACATGGGATCCCATTGCTTTTGAACCATGGCCATGTGGGCGGGTGTCTGTGCGTTTGTTTATCTCTTCTTTCCGAGGCTACCCTTCGATACTTTTGAACTCAGATGCCCAGTGGCCATGGGAAAAATGGCACCATTTGTTGCTGACTCAGTTGAAAGGGGAACCCGTACCCAAAAAAAACGGTCCGAAAAAAAGGGAGCAACCCCGTGGCAAGCGACATAGGTAACCCTTCGAAACATTCTCCAAAAAATTGGCTGTTCAATTGGGTGGGAACATCTTGGTTGCCTGCCACACTGGGAAATGGAATCACTGGGAATGAATTGTAATTGCAGACCTGTTTGGTTAACATCACCAGGTAAAATCATGGCTATGTGCATATTATCATGATTCACCGGCCAAGAATCAGGGGGTCAACCTTTGGCTGCCACTGTGCAGGGTGGAAACTGCCCACTGTGATACCACTGGAAATCCTGCCAGGCCAACCCGGCGCTCAAACGTGCACTCCAACCCTTGTGAGGCCAGAAGGCCATGCGACATCCCGTGAGTCCTTTGCTTTGTCGTGTGGCCAGCTCAGGTATTGTGACCCACAAGCACTGAGAGAACGAATTACCCTCCCACATGGCTGGTCCATCAAGTGCTACCCCAAAGCGACGAGAGAAAGAGCTTTTGGCTTTAAGGGCTGTTGAGAAGAAGAATCTTAGCTGGGTCCTCCAGTGGAGAGGTTAGAATAAGGGTACCCTTTTTCTGTAGTCTATTTCAGTAGGGGAACCCTCCCCCAAAAAGGGGGTAAAAGGGCACTACCGCAGGACCTAGTTAGGAAAGGCCATCGGCGCGCTCGAAAAAAAACCGGTGGGATCCACGACCTTCTTCTTGCGCATTCCTGGACCCTCAAACTACCCACAAAAATTGGATATCACCAACCATAATTTTGGGGGTCAAACCCATTTGTAAGGGAATTTTGAGGGTTCAGGTTGGGCTTTCCTTGGCCTCCCTTTGAAACCAGCAAAGGGGTATACACCAAGCGAACCTCACCCACATGGGAACTGCCCAGACACATCCTTGGTTTTGGGACTCTCGACCCCGCCCCCCCCCCCCCCCCCGCCCTGTCCATTGGGGTCAAAAAAAGCCAAAGCTGACAAAGTCGCATCGAAGCGCTTGGTTGAAGACAACTCGACCTGAAGCTTGCTGCCTCAAAAGAGATGCTTCTTCTTGACTCAGCGCTTCCCCATGTAGGTAACCCTTCACGATTTTCCACTTGGCTTCTCCACTGGGTGGCAAGCTCTTGGCTACCTGCGACTGGGTAAATGGATCCACTGGGCTTGGCTAAAGACAACTCCGAAGCTTGGTACCGCACAAAAGAGTTGACTTTTTGACTCACCGATCGAGTGGGGCCACTGAAAGTCTGAACTTTTTGTTTACCCCAGTGATTCCATTTACCGTATAGTAGGAAGCGAGGGAACCACCCTTGAAATACCAAAAGGACAAAATTACGTTGGTTGCCTACTATAGTGGTTGCCCGGGATCCACCGGGTACCACAAAATGATATTCCCGAAAACTCCGTTGCGAAATTTGCTCCCCTGCTAAAAGGTTTTAACTTTTAGCGGTTCAATTCGGAAAACCCCATTAGTTGGCAAAAAGTTGAAGTCCTAAGATCCAAGCGAAATGCACCAAGTCCAGGAACTGAGCGTCGAGTTGAGGCTCTCCATGTTTTTCCCACCGCAGCGCCCCGAACTGCCGAACTGCCGGCCGGCCTTGGCCACTCATGGACAGCTGGAACAGCCTTCCCAGCTTTCGCGCCGCGTTTTTGCAGCTAGGTCCTCCAGTAGAGGGGTTAGAATAAGGCTTTAAGGGTACCAACTTTTTTCTGTAGTCTATTTTAGTAGGGGAACCCTCCCCCAAAAAAGGGTAAAAGGGCACTGGGGGACCTAGGCAGAATCTCCCAAAAGAACGAGCCCCAGAAATGGACGCTTCGCTGGTCCTGGGGTTTCCCAGAAAGAAGAAGACGCACCAAGTCCGGGCATCGAAAAAGAGGAACCTGGACCCTCAAACTACCCATAAAAATTGGAGATCACCCCATAATTTTGGGGGTCAAACCCATTTTTAAGTTGGAATTTTGAGGGTTCAGGAACCCAACTACCAAGGAGCAAACCCTTGAATATTTATGAGCTGTCACGGGGCATGAATACAGATGGCACCTCGGAATGGAGATTTCCCACCCACAAACTCCAATTCGATTGCTTTAGGGCCTTCAAACTTGACCTGGTTTTGCCGGGTCCCAACCTCGGGTAGCGGGGTGTCTAACGCTTCGGCGCTTGTCTTCCATAAGCCGAAGCCGATCGGAGCCTCGGGGCGTGCAGTCTGGCGTGCATGACTTACTGATATATGGTGGGGGACTGGGAACCCGGAGCGGACCAGAGATTCCCTGTACCATGGGAAAATAAAAGACAATCAAGCAAAAAGGGAACCTGGACCTCAAACTACCCATAAAAATGGGATATCACCCCATAATTTTGGGGGTCAAACCCATTTTTAAGGGAATTTTGAGGGTCCAGGAAGAATCATATTTGTCAATGCGCCTCGGAGACAGGCGCAATTGCGGTGCTGACGGATCTTCAGGTACTGGGAATGGTTCATAAGCTTCGTGCGAGCGATTTTTGTTTTCGTCCACCCAGACGCTCCTGGCTTCGGCTTCCAATGGAAGACCCAGACCCTCCAAAGGGGACAATTGAGAGGTCTTGCGGTCGCAATTTCAGGGCCCACAAAATGCATCAGGAGCATCTGGGCAGGGAACCTGAAGGCTCTTGTCGCTTCGCGCCTTGGCAGTTCCACCATGGCCAGCTCGCACCAGACCTAGCGGTGGCCGTCAGACGGCCAGCTGGTGGGGCGAAAAACAGAAGTGATATGCGTGCGTGGCTCGACCTCTTAAGGCCAAGGGTACCCCCCTTTTTTTTCTGGGTTTCAAAGGGAA